ATAGTTTGCGTGGTCGCGGCAAATAGTTGTGACGTCATCAAAACAGATCGAAAAATAAATTCAATATTTTTATGTAAGTTAATTTTGTTTTCTGATTTCTGGTGGATTCGACGCCTTATAAATCTTGTAAATTATTATTATTTTTTTGTTATTATTACTATTATCTTCATCATAATAAGGCCTATTATAATAATTATTTTTATCATCATTAATATTATTATTATTGTTAATTTGGCAATGGAAGAATACGGATGAGACACGTTTCAAGAAAAACGGAAAAGGTAAAGAGAGTGATAGAGAAAGCGCTTCGAAATTAGAAATGAAAGTCATCGAAATATGCCCAGTACGAAGATAATTTTATTGTAATAGTTTTTCATTTGTTATTTCATTGATCATGTTATTTAATATCGACAGAAGGCAACTCGTTTGGGACCGTCATGAATGCTATGATACATCGCAGATGTTTCACTTCTCATAAATATTCGAAAGGATTGGATTGAATTGAAAAATTGTGAGAACTGCAAAAACCAATTGTCATTGACGATAATTTCACAACTTCGTCCAGGTTTAGGGTATCCCGAATATTTACTGACTTATGTGTATTCGAGCATGAGGGGGGGGGGGGGGGGTAGTGGGCCCTACATACTAAGAAATAAAGGTAATTATTCTGCTACAATAGCAGCACCGTCTGCCAAATACGCGTTGGTCAATGCAAATCTGCACCACAATTGCACCCTTGGTATTTCTTAGTGGGTATAGTTGCACACTTCTTTGTTAATATGTTTAGATTATATTGCCTCCTTATTCAGCCTGTGACTGTTCACGCAATTTATTTACACGGATATTTGCTTATCCGTTTACCGATTGAAGTATTGAATAGCCAGCTCAGTCATCCCTAGCCAATAAGTTTCTTATCATTACGTAATTATTGTAATCGTTGTTGTTGTATCCTGTTGTTTATGTTGTTCGTGAAAGAAAATAAACCATGAATAATTCCAGTTATTTGTTTGTGTTTCCTTTTACTATGGATCTGTTGTGAGCATGCATGATTTCACCGGAGAGCACTCTCTGTGAATGAAATAATACAAACTAACTTAATTTAAAATATGCCCTTTTTATCATCATAGGCGGATGTCCGATTAGTCAGAGAGGGAAGGGTGATTAAAAACCGCGATAATCAATTATTACAGGCAAGTATTGGTTCACAACGAATACGTACCAACCCCCCCCCCCCGTAAAAAAGGGGCGCGCCTTCTTTGTTAAATCAGCCTATTAGTTTGGAGCGCGGAATAGGAAGTTCCGCCATGATAATATGTATCTTGCTATATATAAAAACTTAAGTACCAAAAAGAAATCGAACATTTATCATTTTTTAAAGGTTTAGAGTATGGCAGAAATATTAAGTGTTATGTTCGAGTTTTTTCGTAGTACCAATTGCGTAAATTACTCGTTCTATATTTGCAGAGATTTCCAAATGGAAGAAAGTGTCTTTTAAAAGCATTCAATAATTGATAGACCATTTATTGCATCCAGGTTATTTATTTACGGTCCTTACATCCCATGCAGAAACAAATCTATCACAATCTATCACAGTCACTAGCTATACGGCATATCGTAAATGCCATTGTGAAGATTGTTCGTTGCTAGGTCTGACAACCGTCGCGACAGACGACCAGATTTTTAGGGGTACATTTTTTTAACAAAAATAACAATTTAACCCGTATCAATTCACTGTGTAGTATTAATTCATTGTATTTAAACAAAACAATCTCTTGATATGTCACCGCATGGCCAGAGTCTGATGCCAATAAAATGCTCTATATCAAGTTTCTTTTGTTTTTGTAAAGTCGCCACGTATGCACCTTTTTGAGAGCTAATCATCTTGCTTTAAGCTGTTGTTTTCTCCTTGCGAATTACTCGAATAACCATGGTAACGTCACGTTTATTCAGATACTAAACAAATACAATCACCTTGAACCTACTTGGAGTACTTTTTCACACGCTTCCGATATTTAATGTACTTGACGAAGAGGTGGACCGTACAACAAATTATGCAAATTGAGGAAACAACAAAAAGACTAAATTCAGTCCACCATGTTGACTTAGTATGTTATTCAACCTTTATCATTTGAATATCAATAACATAATTGGAACATTGCCAGTAATAATTGACGTCGAAGAGATCATTGTTCATTTCCCCATTGGCATTATTAAAAAGGGCAGATATCGTTAGAAAGGAGAAAATGTATTTTCATTTGAAAGGATTAAGGAGTGGGAGTGGGTTTGTGTATTTTGATTTTGGTTACTAACGTAGTTTAGAGGTGTGTAACCTGCCTTCTTACCTTAAAGTTTAGAATTAGAGTCAGTGGGGGCTGCATAAATATATAAATCGCACAAATTTGGGTTTCAAAAATAATGCTTACTAGATAGCGGGGGTGGGGATGAGGGTATAAGTTCATTTTGCAAACTTGGTAAATAATAATTCATCTGCTTGATCCACTGACTATCAAAACTACATATTTCTGTTTTTAAAAGAATGAATCGGAATTCAATAACGAATCGGTAGATACGATATGCAAATGACAAAGAAAGTTCATATTGAACTACGCGAGTGTTTTGATCGTTATAACTTTCGCAGTCCTCTTTGGAGATAGCATTTTAAGCATTGTGTTATGGCAAGCCTCACAATTACATACCTACATACCTTTAATTTGGCCTGTGCCATTTCGGCCGGGGCGAAAAATCAATCAATTTTAATGGCATTTTGAGCTTTAATGAATTAAACGAGAATTTTAACATGAAAAGGATGACGGGAAATTAATATATAATGTGATAATGGTTTGGGGTATTAAGAGGAAGGTCGTAACTCATTTTAATCATCATGACATTTATTCGTTGCAATGGAGGTGAAAAATGTATATGCACGTCAGTGGACGGAGATACAAGGAACTAGTTTAATATAGGCCACCAAATTATGCATTCCAGCTATTAGGCAGATGTAAATAAATGATATATAGCAATGAGGGGCTTATTACACTTTAAAAAATGTAGCGTGGTGTTACATGTTTTCTTAGAACCAATCTTCTAAGAATTTTCTCATCGTATCTGACAAATAATTATTGGAGTAGTATCGTATATCAATCATGAAAAATATTCAATTCGGGGACCATGCAGGTGTTGTCCTGTCTTTCGAATTAATGTTGTCATCATTTATGTTTCAGTTATTTGCGTATTTGTGATAGCTAGGCTACGCACCCTATCATCGTAGCTTTATTACAGCAACCAACGCGATACGTAAAGCGATAAACGAATTGTAACAAGATCGCTTTAATTGTTCCGCTATACTGCGTTTTACCTTGCGGATATAATAATAGACGGTTTTAGTCGTACACGTACTCAAATGTCTCCTTGCACGGTGCCATGTCCGTGCTCTGTCTACGCTCAAATCCAACTCCTCTTGTTCTACTTCTCTAAACGAGATTGTCCGATGCAATTAATAATGCGGTATTTTCTACCGATTACGTTTAGAAGTATCCTTTTCGTGTTACTAATTTCACAGTTTTGTATAAACTCTCTATTTGACTATCAATGATTCATTAAGACTTATTATAAAGATTATAAAATCCAATTATCTAAAAAAAAAATCATTCGGGGCAAAAATACGTTTCAAGTTCGTTATTATGTACGGATATTATGCGAGGCTCGGGCGAAAGGGAAACCCTTATGAGGAAGTGTGAGAAAATGTCTTGTTTTGGTTGAAGATGTGCGCTATCGGCTTTAATAACATAGGACGTGAAGCCAAGATTTGCTTTGTTTATATTATTCGTGGCCGGGTGTAATATAGCATGTAAATCTCTCTGCTGCCATTCAAGGGAGGAAAAAACGTTTTGAAAAGAAATCCGGAAAAGAAATGCTAGTCGAGGGGCGATGCTTTGTCGAGTTGCCCGCGATCAATTTAAATATCGGTAATGTCCCAGTTTTGTGCTGCGTTTGCCTATAGCCTTTAGGGTCGTGTGGGTGGCGGCGGAGCATTTTTGTTCTCGTTTAGTGCCATCGCGAAATCGAGTTCAACAAAAGATATTTTTAGGTAGATGCGATTCAAGCCATTTGGTGGAGCAGTCTGGTGTATCATTCATGTACGTCAATCTCTTATTTTTACAGCTATAAATCCACCCATTAACCATAGGAATAATTCGCATAGTAATTGTGGGCTATATATAGTTTATCAAGTAAGTATACCTCGGGGGAAACGAAATTACGAATACTCATATTATTGTTTTAAACACTCGTGGCTGTTCTAGAATTAAAGATTTTTCTCAAAGATAATGTATTACTTCCTCGGAGTATTACTAGTGATCTTGAAGAAAGCCGCGCAATTGTTGCCTTACGATGTGATATAAAGGCTATAAGCAGAAATCTAGTCTTTTTATTTTCTGGGTTTTGGCATAGGCCGAATATGTGAAATATTAACACGAATTTTGTTAATCTTTCTTTCATTTCTCTTTTTATTGATTATACGCAAATTAGTTAACGACGGAGATCGTGATAATCGGGAAAACGAAATTATGAAATATGCTGAGCCCAATGTGCTTTGGCCGAAAATGTAAAATATTATACGAAAAAGCAAACGCCTTTGGAGCTTTTTCTTTCGACTTCAAATGCATAATGGATATCAGAAAATGCAAGCCAAAAAGCCCGAGACAAGGAAAGCAAGTTTATTTTTCCATGCATGTATTCGTTTTACCGCAAGCTCCTTTTTCATGGAAAACGATATAAAAGGATATCTATCCTCTGAACACATTCGTAGATAGTTTACGATAGTAGATAGTCGTTGGTGTGTTTACTGCATTTAAAGCGCTCTTTACTTATGGAACATTAACTGTGAGAGAAATGAAATTCATTGAAGCTGTTTTGTAACCCTGAACTATATATATAATACATTCTTGCGAAAATGAAAGAAAAAGAGTCCGAGAGAGGGGGGCTTGAAGGTATTGAAATCCTCGTTTCACATACCCAGAGTTTCAGTGGTAATTAGTGTCTTTATTGAAAGAAAGAACCTTTTCTTTTCTTTCCGGATTCGTTCTGCTGATTAAGCTGCATGGGCTATGCAAAGCACAGCATACTTGTGTGTGGGTGTGTACAAGTGTGTGCGTTAGAAATCGGTCTGCTTGATCTATCTTTTTTCCCTAGCCATCGCACACAGTTTATTGATTGGACAGAATTAATACATGGGCAAGCATAGATAAAATGGTACGCAATTACAATAATGCCTTGATATGCCGTACAAGGGTAGCGTGTAATTCGGAGTAGATCCTATATTTCGGCGATTGCTCTTTGTGGAGAGTAACTACACAGTTGCGGCTTCTTTCTACGGCGGTAAGCATTTTCGACGCCTCTATTTTTTTTTCGTGTTCGTATTATAAATGGTACAGTTTTTGCTCGTACTTGCGGTTTCATATTTTCGCGTTACGATGTAATATCAACGCCGCGAGCGTATTTAATAAATGCTTCAGTATTACGTGATAGTCATATTTCCCGTATTATTCTTTTAGATCGATGTTGCATTAAATATGCTAGTGTTCATTTTTCCAAGTGTTTATAACGCCGTGATTTTCATTGCACTTAAAAGATTAATCGCTGAAAGAACAAAGAGAAATTGTGGTTTAGAATAGTCATCCGTTTCATTTTTCATATACACTACACAATGTACATATAGCCATATCACTGCGGTGGCATTATTTTTAGTTTATTATAATGTTAAAGTATTTTCGAGTCTTTTTGAAAATAATATTTGCGGGAGATTAGGCAAAGGGTTTTCTTCATCATTACGCGGATAAAAGAAAGCTATTAAAGACGTTTAATTTCTCAATTCCGTCTAGATGATCTGTATTCACTTGACACTCAAACACGCACCCACACGAACACACACACACGCTCTCTCTCTCTCTCTCCCCCTCTCTCTCTCGTATAAAATATAGTACAGTTATCACCTTCTTATTTTTTTTATTATTACTACAGTTTTGTAATATTATTTTTCGTTCGAGAGTTTGTATGCTCGCGTACTGTTATGTCGATGATTTCTACCATACAAAAGTAGTTACCGCGGGGAAATATTCCAGAGATGAAAACACGAGGAATGCTTATAAATCCGTGTCGTTATTTATACCATTGAGTTATAAAACTGAAGAGTTCCTTGTTTAGACTTTAGTTCACAACCAGGAAGTGCACGAAACATGCATTTGTTTTTATGAGTAATGGCCGAAGGTTCCTCAAAGAAGTTGGTATTATGATGGTTGCAATGCTTGGTATCGGATTCGAGAATGATAAATGGCCATTGAGTTTAATAGCGAGAGAGATAGCAGGCAGAGTGAGAGGGGGAGGAGAGGAAAACTTCGAGGAGAGAGAGAGAGAGAGTGATGACCGTTTCCGAACAGAGAGAAAGAGACCAGACAAAAGGCCATGATGTAGATGGTTGTGGTGAATATTTTAGACAATGATCGTGGTTATAGTAAATTTAATCGCCATCTTTGAAATACATGTATCCGCGACTGGTATATTTTTTTTATTCTGCTTTTAATTATTGTGATTACTGTTGTTATAGCCGGATGGAGTAGGCTTTTCTACACTATCAATATTACTCGTATAGTTCGAAATATATTATTTAATTTGTTTGTCGGTATTCTCAACGTTCTGTGAGTACCTGCACAAAGTGTTCCGAACGTGACATTCCGAATGCCTGCTATTTTATTGTGATTTATGTTGTTATAGTCGGATCCAGCAGGCGTTTCTGCATTACCAATATTACTCGGATAGTTTGAAATATATTATTTAATTTGTTTGTTAGTATTCTCATCGTTCTGTGAGTACCTGGTACAAAGTGTTCCGCACGTGACATTCCGATTGCCTGTTATTTACTTCCGATGTCGTCATAGGAATATGATTGAAAGGTCGGAGTCCATACCGACGGGCTCATTCCTTTGTTAACCCCCTAAACCGCTTTATTTCCATATGCAAATTAAAATCGGCCCGTCTGCCGCTGGCATCTTATAGGTATTCAAACTATTCAATATGGCCGTCGTGTCGGTACCGCTCTCAGTTCTGCGAGCATATGAAATAATGTTCCACTTACTGCGCACGGTTCCGCGCTGTATAACTGGTAGAAGGGTTTAATTTGCATGCGTATGCCGATGCCGTCAAAACGAGGACCTTGTGAAAATAGTCCCATTATTAATTAATGTGTTCGGTTTTGTCATAATCATGATTATCACTCTCCATGCACTTCATCGGCTCACAGGGAGCGGGGGGGGGGGGGGGGTAGGTATCGCTTTGGAATTAAAGAGTCCTCCCTTCACGTTTCGGTATTCTGAATTGGTAACAAGGCCAAACGAATATAGGGGACCTTTCGTAGAAACATCCGATTTTTTTTTTCTAGCAGAAAAGGCTATAGAGCATGATATCAATTTGCAAATAGTTTCGACAATAAAGATATAATCTATTTTGTACTATTAGTAATGGCTTAAATGTCAAGAAAGCATTATCTAAAAATATGCGGCGGTGTATATATCATGTGTACATAGATAACAGTTAAAGACCGATCGAGTTGAGATTCGATAATTCGGACAATAAAGTTTACTTCAATGCGTGACACAATCGTCTTTATATACATAATTATATTGAACTTTGTAACGAGTCCGAACCTTTCGTAATACTATAATAAATATTAATCATCTCAGCCGCTGATCTGGAGATAAAACACACAGAACCTGTGAATCAGTGTATAATCTGACATTGCCCTATAATTCTTAAATACCATATAAAATGAAATGTAACGAATTTGAACTTTCCTTCGTGTTAGTCTTCATTCTCTCTCCAAAATATCTAGCGCGTCAAGTCATGAATTTGTGACTTGATTTTCGATCGTGTTAGTTTTCCTTTCTTTTTTCATATTTTGGTTTGCAAATTGAAAAATGTCATTTCCCTGGTCCGGAATTTCTTTACAATGTTAATCACCAGTTAAATTGTATATTATCGTTCCTTTACGTGTTCAGAGTCATGTATCTCTTACGATAAATCGCTTCTTCGTTTTTTGGAGTGAATTTTACACCGCCCCCCCCCCCGAAGTTCCTCTTTCTTAACCTTTTGTTTGGCCTCTGTGGAACGCAGTTATTTAAAGCCGTAATGTATTACGAGGAGAATGTTGTACTGCCATCATCAGTGACATAATCTCAATTATTAAATCTCATTATTACGTCATGTGTAAACTCAATTGTTTTTCATGGCGGGCATTCATGTAATAAGATCGCTATCAAACGGTAAGGGGTATATTATCTTGTTTCAATCCGTAATACAATACCAAAGTGTCTCTTATCAAGGTATATTCGCGACATCGATGTAGCCACCATCTTCTACACAACGTGTTGAAGAAAGAAAAAAAACGATAATACTAAAGAGAGCTTCGGGTCTTCAAATTGCTTGGATTTACATCACACACACTGCTTTCTTTTTGAACTTGTTCGTGTAGACACACCGCTGCTATTGTCACAAAAGAGCTTTTAACAAAACAAGTACCACGTGATCATTCGACCGTCAACTTACACTGCGTGGGAGAAGAATTCCATTCTCAGGCTCGAATCCAATCCATTGAAAAATACAAAAGGCGACTTGCAAGCTCGATTTCGCTCTGCTCCGATTTATCTTATTCAAACATTCCACCAACAACAAAATAATAAACTCTCCCCAAAACATCATATACGGATGTATTTAACTAAATGCATAGAAATCTACCCGGGACGAACATGTATTTCTTATTATTATGTTGTACCGCGCAATAAAGCAGAAAAGTAGGCCTCATGTAATTGACATGATAAGAGTAGTAGATAAGACTCTGAAGAAACAATGGCGTCATGCAAAATCACGTACGGATTCAAGATTAAAAATTGTATTAGCATACGTAATAGGCCTACAACAATTTTGAAATCCGTTGGCGTTTTGCAACCGTAGACATCATATGATATCGTGTGTTGAGAGCGAGAAGGGTGTGATATGCTAGTACAACAGAGGTATTGTGGTCTAGCGGATATGTATCCGGACTGTGAATCGTAAGGTACTGGGTTCGAATCCCTGCCAAAACACTATTGCCCTCTTGCAGTACATACATTTACCACACTACGTAGACCCAGGTGAGGTAAACGGGTACCTGACAGGAATTAATTTGGAATGCTAGCGGACCTTAATAGCAGGCATGCTAAAGCCGGGTAATATTCTGGAGCGCCAGCCTCCAGGAGTATCACATGTGATAGACCTGAGCTCTATACAAGAACACACAATATCATTATTGTTATCAAAATACAAACCTATACTACTCCGCCGCTCTTACTCGGACTGTATAATTACGATGAAGCTGAAGCTTCAGACAATACTTGAATACTTGAAATGTATAAACATTTGATAAATAGCGTCAAATTAAGCCTTGTGCCTGCGCATTTTTTTCTTTCTAGAAATTGCCGAAAGTCAATACATGGCTCATGGCAGTGTATATATAGATGCGCAACCAATAATGGGTTAGATATTGATTATGCTCTCCATACCATATTTCCACTTTTTCTTTCTTCCAAATCTGTTTGCTTCTGACCACCCGTGCATACCAAGATAAAATCACTGCAATACATTTGTTGTGGTTGTACAGGAATGGCATAACTTCGGCTAACACCATCATCTGTCATTTTGCAGGCAGCCATGGCGTGATGCAATCTATGAATGTGTTATTGACATCGTAAGAAGAGGAAGGAAAGAAATCTAAAAACATATGATTAGTTTGCCATGTTTGATGTATGAAGTGATAAGAATATATCATTGGCTTGATAGATTGATGGGATTGTGGAATTTAATGGATCAAATTGTAGTATTCATTCCAAAAGAATTAAGAGGCCGAAATTACCGAGCTAACATATATTCCGAACTTAGATTCTCTTCACAATGTTCACAATAATCAAACCATTTCTTTTTTTCTCTCTCTCTCTCTCTCTCTTTCTTTCAATATTTTAATATACCCTTCGTATTCACTAAATATTGCTTAGACCCGTCTTCTCTAATCTTAATGTTTTATTTTCCCTCTCTTTCCTCAGGTTTGTGTGCATGACTGACCAGACGTGAAGCCGACGTACACATGATACACCGCAACCAAACCAATGTTCCCATCACTCATCGGGTCGAACGAACCACAATGAACGGGTCATCGGACAAACTGCTCCATGAGCCACATAGACACCGTGTGGTTGACTCCAGGTCCGTCGGTTCCGACGAACCGTTGGACCTCAGCAGACCGCTGGATTTGTCTAAGAAGAGCAGTAAGCCTGTTCCACCTGCAGCACCACAGCATTTCGTGTCTAACGGAACACCTCGTCATTTCCAACCTGGGGTACAACCGATTAACATTCACAACAACATAAATGGAGTCAACGGAGCCAACGTGCCTCCACTGCGATCGACAAAGTATCCTCTACAGAGGGGTCTGGCCTATGTTCAACCTCGGAAAGGATCCCTCTCTAGAAATGGAGGAATCCTAGAGGTAGGGATACCTGATCCGCCAGCCAACAAGAGCTCGCCGCAGAAAGTCGTTGGCGCTGGCCAGCAACTCATGATGAACTATGCCGCCATGCAGCAACGTGTTCGTACAGAGGCAGGAAACATTGCAGCCTTGCAAGCTCAGGCTACAAACGCAGCACAGGAAGCCGTAAAGCAAGCTATGGCCCGACATGCTGCCGCTTCCGCGGCGGCCAAGGCTAAGAAGGAGATGCCTACAGCAGGGATGCCTCCTGGTGTTGTCATCCAGCGGTCTCATAACCCAATGTTTGACGCTCATAGGAAGAGACTGAACACAGGTCGCATGGCCTCTGTGAAACCTGTACAACGAAAATTGACCCCTTCTGATATTCGGGAACTTGCCATGGAGAGGCAACTCGCTCAGTTATCAGCAATGCATTCTGAGCAAGATCTTCTTCGCGCCTATCGTCAAATGATGTCATCGCCAAAAGCAAGTTCTGCTGTTTTTGCCAAACAAACCCACATTCGGCCACAGACTGACAAGTCATCAAAGACTTCAGCGACTCATAAACCATCATTGCAGAAACCATCTTTGCAGAAACCACTTCCAGGAGCAACGGACGAACGCACCGGGAGAGGTTATGAAGCCAAGCATACACACTATAGTCCTCAGCAGCAAAGGATCATTGACTCTCACATCGCTGCAAGTAAACAAAATGGGTTTGCAGCGCAGGTACGAGCAAGGGAGCAGGCGATGGTCAAGCAACAGCAAGAGTTGATCACGCGTCAACAACGTCAGCTTATAAAGGAAGTAAATAACAATCGTCGACTCCAGGAATTCGCGAAGAACGAACGTGATCGTAAAGCAATGGTGGCTGAGTTTAACAATAAACATTTAACCAGCCGAGGAAAGATGCTCGAAGAAGAAGCTTTGGCAAGGAAGCACGTCGGTCAGGCGGCCATTCCTGCCCTACCAAGTACAGACTATTTAGAGGCTATGGCTGCTTATAACGCGGCAAGGACCGGTCAAAATCAAAAACGTACCATCAGAAGTGTGTCGCACACGATGTCTCCGCCACCAACGCATGGTTTGTCGTCACCACAGTGTATCAAGAAACCTTCACCATCTGTTCCTCCTGAAGTTCGCAGTGCAGTCCATAGCAGTTCTCCACATGCAGAAGTCATCGCCGCATCAAAGGTGTACCCACCGATCAAACGCCCTTCTTCTAGCCCACATGAAGAAGTTGTTCCGAGGAAAATCAGATCAGCATCTTCTGATACCCGATCCAAGAATATGTTCGTCAACGCTATTGCTGAAGTCCAGCGCAATGTCGCTGCTCAACAGATGCTTTACAATACCTATAAAGGTATGACTAATAAGAAACTGTCCAGTGTACCTGTTAGGGAACGTCTCCTCATAGCCCGGATGTCAGATCGTGATCGCCATGATCTCATGGTTGCGCAGATGATGGAGGAACAGGCAATGAGATCACTAAAGTCTAATTCTAGGACAGGAAATAAGAGTGTGTTGAGCAATATCGCCTCATCACCAGAAGGCGAAATGATCCATGCTGCAAGAAAAGCTCATCTGAACAGGACCAAATCCTTTGACAAGCCTACTGCAAATCATAACGTTCCAAGTTCGTCGCAAAATAGATTGCCTAAGAGTGTTATTTCGCCAGGGCCAAGGGAAAACGAAGAATCAACCGCTGACTATTTAACTCAACCTAATCTCATTAAGCAACGTAGTGAAACAGCAGGACACCCTCCGATGAAACGAACCAGTCGCCTACCGTCCTACGACGATGCCATTGCTGCCCAGAGATCACTTCCATCGGGAGAAACGAACGAGAAAGTTACGCCTGATATGATGTCTTCTGTTGCTCGTCAGTTGGTCACGTCAAGTAAGGATTGGTTCAAGAGTTATTTTTCTCGAGAAATAGAACTTCAAGGAAATGACATCCCTCAGCAGGGTAAAGCAGAGAATCGCATAATGACTGGAGACGGCCATTCATTATCGAAAGACATATCCGCAGGTAAACAGGTGGCAACGTCGCCTGTAATAGAATCGGCAAGGCAACCAAAGACGGAACAGAAGACCCTGAAGGAATCATCAGAACATGATAAAGAAACGAATAGCTTACCAGTCAATGAAGTAAGGAAGTCGTCTCCTACACTTCCTCCGACTCCACCTATCTTGGATGCCCTCGGCTTAGGTGGGCGCATTCCACCTGGAGAGAATAGCCAGAAGGACCCGGTTGTAAAATCTGCCATTGATGTCAAGAGGTCCTTTGGGAAACCTTTCTCTGATTTCTACCTGACACAGTCATTGGGTCAATCGGAGGTGACGCCGATATCCCCAAAACCCAAGCCGACCCGCAAGGTGAAGACCTTGTCGCCTGAGAAACCAGTCGAGGACCTTGAGAAAAGTATAAAGGTGGCTGAAGAGCAGCAAAAGAACTCAGATGCAACGACTGAAGCCTCAAAGGGCAGTGAAGGAAGCCATGAGGTGAATGATCTGATGCAGGCTGATACAGCATCCCTCGGAAGCAAGGAACGTGCTTTACAGGTATGCAGTATTCAGCTCTGTATTTCTGTTATTAACTTTGATTGTCCATACATCATATTTTTACAGGGAAATGGAAATATTCAAATAGGATGTGCTCCCGTTTTGATATATATTTCACTTGCAGTCTTTTTAATAACCCTATAGTGGCAGGGGTAAGGTTCACATTTCTTGTAACCCATACTAAATCAGTGTCAGGGTTTCGGTAAACAAGTTCTGATTCTAATCTCCCCGAAGGCCATCTACCACTATAACAGGATCAACTAGATGACTACTTTGAATATTTTTTTTTATAATGAACCATTATGTTTGGGATATTTCTCTTTGCAGCGGGCCATTATACGATTCAACGTTCCGGAGAGACAAATCTCAGGAGGCGACCAAGCGACAGAGGAGATTCCAGTTCCAGTTGACACTAATAAACCTATCTCCCGTTTGAAACTGGTGCAGAGGCGGAGAAGACGAAAGCTGAGTAAGTTCAGAAAGCGTATACGTGGTCAGCGAACTCTAACAAGTGAGTGATATTCATTTTTACGGGTTTCTTTTCAAAGAATTATTGGTATGGGGTCCATTCAATTTTCCTTACAAAGGCAGCATCTCACCAAACTGTCAAGTCTGAGATCGCCGATGTTCTGTTGGAAGACATGCTACTTTTATGACGTATGTCAGTAGGATGTCTGCAATATTGAACCTCATGTATGACGGTTTTGTGAGACGCTGCCATGCTGGGGGTATGTGCAGGATTTTTTGTTTATGGTCCATACCATCCAAGACATATACATTCTTCAAATACCCTTAAGATACGTGGTATTCCTTCGACATGTTGCAACACTTTCGGTTTCTTTGTTGAAATAAAGCTTCCTTCAAAATACCTTAAAGACCCACCCACCCTTTTCACACATACACACACACACACACACACACACAACAATAACAAATATATAGTTGTATTCGACTTTCCTGGACTTCCTCTAAAGGAAATTAAACTCCCCCCCCCCCCCTTCAATCAGGTTTTACAATACGTTGTTCACGGGTTTCGTGCTCGAGTACATTCAGTACTTATTGGTATTTCATTAATTCCTTTTCAATGTGCCCTCAAATCATGTTGATTATTTCTTTCTTTCGTTCGTTCGTGTCTCCTTAGATCATGATTAATGTATATTGATCTTCGAAGTAGTTTCTACAACCGGCCCTGTCAGACACGTTACATAGGGGTGCGAGATAAGACTCTTGTAGCGTGCCCCCACTTTACACAATTATACAATAACAATTAACATTACATTTCATTAATATAATGAAGCGATTAATATTACACATCATTTTGGTGTAAAGCCTTTACTCTGAAGAAACCTATTTGGATATGACAAGGCTTTTTCTTAAAGGAAGCCATGTTCTTTAAGCGACACATTTACATCCTATATGGGAGTCTCAACTATCTATTGTTATCATTAGTCATTGTATCAGGAAGGATGTCCTTTGAGCTGATTTTTCACTCTCAAGTTTCTACTCGAGTATAAGCTCTTTTACGGCTGGATGAATGTATGAGGAAGAAGGAAAGGGGACACAACATGGCCAAATCTAACACATCGTGCGCCTCCTTACAATAATGCCACACTTTTGTTTCCTTTTCAAAATTGCATTAAATTGGGGATCACCCGTCCGTCTAACGATGCGTCAAGTCTTTCGTCTTCTTCGTGCATGGCTGATCGTCAACGAAACAGAGTTACGTCTTTTGTCAACTCTATTTGTTGCTACGGCAGGCAGCCAGTGAAAACGAATTCGTTTAATCAAATTATGGAAATGCAAGCATTACTTTAAACAAACAGAACTTTGTTATTCTTCGCTCACTTTTCCTGATTGAGGTGTCATAATATTAAAGGGCAGAAAACGAACTTTCTAGAAATGTGATTTTCTCTTTGAAATTCAGATACCGCCCGCCAATTGACTTTTTGGTTTCCTCTCTTCAAATTTGTTTTTAATCACTCATGCGTGAAATATGCATCATATGAAATACTTCAACTAAAAGAGGAGGTTCTAAGCTTTGAAAATGTGTGTCATTTATTAATTATAATTGTGATTAAATTATGATAGACATCGATAATTCTCGGTTTCGTTTTTTCTGGGACGCATTGTATATGTACATGTACATTACTCGAACTTTGCATTGTAAAGGAACACAACTATTCGCTTCATTAGAAAATCAATTTTTTTTTTTCACTGACATAACTGCGTGGGAATTCTCGGCGAGTGTTCTGATGTTTGTACAATGTCATTGTCTTCTTTCAAAGATATCTTTTCTTCGTCAAAGAATGGTTTGCGCCATAAATACCCGCAAGAAAATCCACAACAGAAATCAGTAAAATGTGCCCAAACAACAAGACACTAAACACTCCTTGACGCAAGTGACCCCCCCCCCCCCCCCCCACCAAAAAAAAAAAAAAAGTACATGAATTGCTTATCTTTTAGATTAATTTTGAACGGATTGATTTCTTGTATTTTTCAGATGTTCCTGTTCCTCAAACAGGGAGGAAGCGAGGGCGCCCACGGCGATCGTCCTTGCCACCAACGGCAGACATGGCGGCTCTGATGAGAACAAAATTCCAGGATTTCATTCCACAAGTCTTAGAAAGACGAACGAGGAATTCTGGATCAGGTAAACAAAAACAAAAATCATCACCATTTGAATTTACGAAAGGGCTTGTTGATTTTGATTTGCTATTCTTTTAAGAAATTAGTAAAGCTTTACAAGCTTGCTTTCATGTAGGTCCCATCATATTTCTCTTGCTTAAATCAGTACTCCATATTGACCACTTATCTTTGTTATTTATTATGTATTATTGAAAAAAACAATTAGTACTTTATTTGAAATGTACATGTAACATGACTGAGAAATATGAAAATAAATGAAATGAAAGTTCTACTGTTCTAAATCTTCAAAATTGTAGGTAGTTAAAGATGGTTCAACTCGGTAGCCAAATAAACAATGACCGAAGGAAAAACACCAATACTCGCAAACACAAAGATTTTAACTTTGTTCGCCTTCCTCATTTTCCATATTGTTTTACCTTTCTTTGTCTTATTCTTCTCCCTCTCCCTCTTCCTCTTTTCTTCTCTTTTCTTCTCTTTCTTTCTCTCTCTCTCTCTCTCTCTCTCTCTTTCTCCTTTTTCTTCCTTTGCCCTTCACTTTCTACTTTTTCTTTTTCTCTTTCTACTTTTTCTATTTCTTCTTCTTCATTATGTAAGTACTTCCCCTCGTAGCTTACATTCCCTATTATTCAATAAGGGCGTTCACACCTAAAGAAAACAAAGTGAGATTTAAAAATCGATTTTCGCATCGCGATCCAAAAAGTTTTTATTTTGCGTGTGTGGACAGAATATTTTCACTAATCTTCGCGATCCAATTCGCATTCCCTATTATTCAATAAGGGCGTTCACACCTAAAGAAAATAAAGTGAGATTTAAAAATCGATTTTCGCATCGCGATCCAAAAAAGTTTTTATTTTGGGTGTGTGGACAGAATATTTTCACTAATCTTCGCGATCCAATTCGCATTAATTCTTGCGATTTTTCAGAATAATCGCGATAGTTTGCCGGGCGCGGTGTGTGAAAATGATATTGAAAATCAAAATTTTTCTCGTCGAGCGAGTATTCTCCCTGTGTGTTAATGGCCGCCCAAAAAAAAAATCAATCTTTGCATCGCGATCCATTTCGCACTAAATTGACATCTGTGAACGGTCTGGAAAAAAAATCGATCTTTGCATCGCGATCCAAATCGCACTAATTTGCCTAGTATCATTTAGGTTGATAGTGCGGATTTTCTATTGTTGAGTCTATTACAATATTACGACATTTCTCCTCTCACTTCATGTCCATGCAGGTCGTGTAAGGAACTATCGTTCGATGTACGATGCCCGGAATATTCGCTACGAACTGGAGATCGAGAAGGAGCGTGCCAAGGTGATGGAGAGACGACGTAGACTTCGAGAGTTCAACAGCGCGGAGAATGCCAGTGCGACAGAAACGGATGATACGGCCCATGACGAAGACTGCGCACCCCAGTTGAATAGACCTCAGGGCGAAGACTACGCACCCCAGGTGAATAGACCCCATGACGAAGACTACGCACCGCAGGTGAATAGACCCCAGGGTGAAGACTACGTACCCCTGGTGAAGCGAACCCATGACGAAGACCACGTGCCACAGGTGAAGAGACCCCAGGGAGAAGACTACGCACCCCAGGTGAAGAGAAAGCGTGGTCGCCCGCGAACGAAGCCGAGAGACGAAAACAGTTCGAAGACACCAAAGCAAAGCACCGAACCAGGGGAAGACGCAACACCTGAAGCGAGCCCTGAGAAGGAATCAGTGGAAAGCCCTTCGAAACCATTACGAGTCGTTCTAGACCAGAACACACCTAATCACATCAAGATCAAGTTTGTAAATCTGCATAGTATGAGCACCAACGAGGATCATAAAGAGGTGGAGGAGGGAGCACCACCCCAGCCGCGTCGGCGGGGCCGGGGAAGACCGCGCAAATCCGTTGGGAAGTGTAAGAGCAAGACCAAAAATCTAGGCCCACCCAAGTCACCGGAACCACCCAAACTTGAGATCATGTCACCGTGCGAAGACAAAGAAAATGAAAGCGACTACGAGGACTTTGTACAGGTGAATTTTTGATTGGAGCATGCCTATAATGCAAACTGGAGTGTCCCTAGCCGTTCTTTTTTTAAGACTTTAGAGGACTGGTGCTATAGGGCATATGGTTGGAAAAAACAAAAAGCCCTTTAATTTTAAAATTTGCCGACACGTGTTAATTCGTGATTTTCTAAATGATATAAATTTTGTACACAGGAAACTTTTTGGGGAAGTCATGCATCCCCACTCCCCCCCCCCCCCCCCTCCATCTAGTGATCCTCTTGAAATTATCACTTTTAAGAACAAAAAGCAAAACGTTGACTACAATAAGTGCATGTTCGTACCATTCCCCGGTACAATGTAATAAACACGATCAATTACATGTCCTTGGAAACACTATGTACCGGCATGAACATAACAATGCCAATATGGTTTAGTTTCTATTATGCTTATAAGCATATTGACCCCGAACTTTTTAATCTACTCGGTTCCTCATACATAGCCGTCATATTTATCAATAATATCGTATTTCACTTCTTGTGGTTGTTTCGTCTTCTTGTTGTTGTTAGGATCCCGACTATGATGTGATCAACCCGGAACTGACGTTGCCAGAGTACGCCCGGGTTATCAGGCCAGACCCTCCACAAGGTATTTATATACAAAAATAAATCGGGGGATGGAATGGTTTCAGCCGAAACGGCCGCCCGTCAATTCCTCTCGCTCTCACGCACGCTCGTCCCCTATCTCTCCTGCTTTCCTCTACCCCCCCCCCCCTCTACATCCATCCCCTTGAACAAAAGGAGCAAAGACAAACAACCAAGTCGGTATCCCCCCCCCCCCCTCTCTCTCTCTCTCTCTCTCTTTTAAATTACACCCCGTACCCCCATTGTTCTACTACTCCCACATGGACGAGTCTGGGAAACTCGCCGGCTCTCCCAGGCTCCCGCAGAGGGGCGTGGCTTCCTCAAAGCATGCACCATGGGTACCGTAACGCTCCCCTCCCCTTTCTTACAATCTTGGACCCGCCCCTGGTGATAACCGAGGTCTTGGATTATAGCATGCATTGATGACTATGGCCTCTGAAATTGACAAACCCTAATAGATTCTTATGTTGGGAAAGGGCTGGCAAATCACAATCATATATAAATATAATATGCTATACATTATAGAACGCTAACATTTCATATGAATTAGGGAAGTAACTGCCCCATTTACCCCCTGAACTGAAACGGGGATGCTGGCAATGGATATATTTTGTGTAATGAAAACTTGATTCATGTAAACGCCAGTATCCGTAAGGAAGTACACATTGTATGTTAGTAATTTGGCACATCCCTACTATTTTTTCCTCTCAGTACCCGCAAACAAGGATATTTTTTCATTCAAAATATGTTAAGACAGGATATGGAAAGATTGATCTTCAAAGGTCGATATAAATTACGGAAGTGGTAAACAACGTATGTTGTTCCGTGTCAAGAAAGTTTTTATGTCGCAGTTAATGTAAAAGAAAGACATTAATTTTCCAAAATACATTAATCTTCATCATGATCGGTGTCAAAAAATTTATTCGCAACTTATGCTACGGTCACAAAGGTTCGTACGAACGATAATTTCGTACGAATCTTCCTCTTTTTCCATTGTCTTCCCGAATTTCCATTGTCTGAAAATCGTTCGTACGGCGTTCGTAGCAGTTCGTAATGGCATTTGTGACCGAGGCTTTAGGGGGAAACAATCCTGGTCCAAACTCATTAATCTCGAACAGCGATGCACCCTCACACACGTAACGACACATAACTATTTTATATACCAAAATAGTTTAGCAATTGATCATTCGATCGATTGATAATAAATATGTATATATATATAGTATAGTACTTATTTGTAGAATGGCAATCTATCACTAAATCATCTTTGTGTTTAAGTGGAGAATGCAATGCGAATTGATTTATCCACAGTGTAAGATGACAACAAAATGTAAAAATCCTAAACAAAATCATTATCAGACTTTTCGTAATACTGATGCTTATACGCTAAACAAAATGACCTTTACTAACCTTTACAAATTTGTAGAGGTATATATATATATATATATATATATATATATATATATAGTTTGTTTGTTGAATGGGCCTTTAGCAAACGAATATGTTTATTTGTTTTGTCTTGTTTTTCTCCTTGAAGATGACATTTTGTTATAAAACATAAGTTAAAATCATTGCCAAGAAAAATGATACTTCAGTATCCTCTGTTTGCATAAGGAAGGACAAAAGTTAATAAGGTTATAACAGATTACTTTCGTAAGTGAAACTATATCTAGCGGAGAGGTTAATATTCCACTGACTTTTATTTTCTTTTTTTGGCAGAGATGAAGCGGTTTCCTCTCAACAAGAAACTGGGTGAAACATATTTACATAGAGCAGCATCCCAAGGAAATATGGTAAGTAGACGGACATATTCATTAATGCTTGGAGCGCCTATACCCCCCTGCCCCGCCCCCAATCATCCAGCCCGACGGATATTGCCATTACTGATCCGAGCCCCCCCCCCCCCCCCCCCCTTTACGAAGATGAACCAAGCGCTCCTTCCCCTTGAGATAAACGTATTAATAGAAGAAGAATCGGGAAATTTGAATCGGGAATAATTTCTCTCTCTCCCTTTCTTATCCGCTCCCACTCCAATAATAAATGAGGATATAAGCGGCGGAATTTTCGAAATCATGTTTCCAGGAAAACAATTACCGCCTACCTCCCCCCCCCCCCCCCTTCAACCACTTCCACACGGACTTTCTGGTGTTTCTATATGTGTCCATGACATGTCATTTTAAATCTTTGATATATGATCAGTTTCATAAGATATTTATTTCCTCACTCAATGAAAGGTCATAAGTATTAAGTTCTCAAAAGTTCAACAGTTTGTTTTATCCATAACGAAAGTAGAACATTAATTACCAATAATTACCGATTATTACCGATAATTACCGATAATTACACAAAATTAATTTCTAGAATTCATTCATAATGACAAACTGAAGTGGTTTCCCATAAACATTACGTAGGCATTGAACACAAAAGTGACCGATATTCTACGAAGATTTAAACCCGACGCTAGGTTTCGGCTTTTGTCCGAAATCGGGATAAAGAGAGGATTTTTTTAAATTCTAACACACCGACGATTTACTCTGTTAAATGAGTTCTAAGACCACGGATCGGGTTAACTTAATTAGAAGTACAGATTATTGTCTTTTTCTTTCGAAACGTACATTTACGTACGCATAATTTCCCCATGTCACGCCTTGTGCGTGCATACTACGGAAGCTGTCTTTTTTGTTGTTCAAGAGGAAGTATAATACTCAAAATATTTGAAATATTAACAGAGTGGTCTCGACTGAATGTGAAACATTTCATGAAAAAAAATATTTAGGTTCTTTTGTTTTATTGTTTATTTTTGTTGCTGTTTTTTTACCAACAATTTCTAATGTTCAATCTTCCGCAGGAGATCATTTCGTATTGCATCGACTACCGAGTCATTGACGTAAACGCCCGCGATAACGCGGGTTATACGGCTCTGCATGATAGCTGTGTCGAAGGCCACATCGACATCGCTCGGCATCTTCTCAGCCATGGCGCCGACGTCAATGCCAGCGCGGCAGATGGTACAAGGTGAATTAGTAAAAAATAATTTTGAATTCTACTGTTATCGAATTGACCTCTTGGAGGGCATAGACATGTTGAAAAGCTATAGTCATGTAAACAACATAGAGGTGTAGTGGTCGAGTGGATACGTCATCGGACTGTCGATCACAAGGTCCGCGGTTCAAGTCCCGCCGCGGCACTAATGTCTTTGGCAAGATATTGATCTACACTTGCCATACTTAATCCAGGCGATGTAAATAGGTACCTGGCAGGAATCAATTCATTAAAATGCTAGAGCGCCTTGCTAAAGCCAGTGTACTAATCTCAGAATAGTTTACTAGATCGATGGCGCATAATAAATGTTGTAGTATTATTGTGTTAAGGAAGAAATTGAATTTATCATGAAGCATTTACATGATGGATGACATTTTTTTGCGAAAGGGTAGTTATCAAAATTGTTGCTCTAATCGATCACGTTATATTTTGATAGAAATGTAACAAAGGATCCTAAATACTCGTAGATCTTGTTTTTAACGCCAGTAACACTTTCAAGCCGACACAACACCGACCATTAACTGTCAAATTATTTTCTATTTGAGGTAATGTGATCGGTCTGTTGTCGAGTTTAGTGTCTGTTTTCCTTGTGTTTCGTTGGTATGACTGGTGTATTAACCTGCATCGAGATACCCCACTCTATACATTTTAGAATAGTCACTCCCAATATTTAGTACTGCAGAAAGTGCAGTGTTCCGTGATTATCTCTTGTTTCGCTTTCAGAAAAGAATGTCCAAAAAAAGATGTGTTATCCGGAGATGTTGTTTTTGTCGCTTCAGTCAGAGTTGTTGATGTTATTCCTTGTAAGTATGTTTTGATTATAATCTATCATGAGATTTTGGTCATATTAATTTCCATTGCAGACCCATCCATGATGCAGTTGATAACGATCGGGTACAGCTAGTCAGACTCCTGCTTGCATATGGCGCTGATCCTTTTCTGGCTACAAACACAGGACGTAGGGTCACCAAGTTAGCTCTGACGAAGAGCAGCGAAATGAAAACCCTGCTGTTTGGTAAGTTTTCCCCCAAGTCACATCAATAGCCCGACTCCAGAAAGAAATTCACGATTACCCCCGAAAGGCCGAAATCGGCCGGTGGTCGGTGGCGTGGACTCGATGAACGGTTGTTCCTAGTAACCCAGTTAAAACGGCGAGATCGAAATTACTTTACATTATTATGAATGGCCGAAACTGTGTCGATTCTTAGTCTGTTAAGAGTTGGTTTAGCGATGTGCCCGGTGTATGTTTAAGAAGCCTTTACCGAAATGTTCGTTTGCGTAACTCACTACAAAATAATTATGTAGGCTTACCTATCCGTTTTTAATATTGCATTTCGGTAGGGTGATTTGCGGTGAGCGATGATTACATGAGGAATTAAAATTTGAAAGGATAGCGGTCGCACAAACACACACGGGCACATAAACGCACAAGCATAATATGAAAAGCATGGAGAATATGGTCCCCGTTATACATAACTTCGATTGGTCCAGGCTGATCGTAAGTCAATCAATCGCAAACTTACAACCCCTAACTCTCTATTACAGAGTTATTACCCATTGAATCAATCGCAACTATTTCTGTCCTTTCAACGCATCTTCGCGATCGTTGGCACCATAATTCTGGCGACGGATCGACGCTGCTTTTTCATGCACATCATCAATATTTGATTATGATTAAGATTAATAACTTTTCATTTACATTTACAGGGTATTTGCAAGACGTCAATGGTGACAGGTCGAAATTTGAAGATGCCCCTCTACACGCTCTTGATTACCAATGGAGCTTCAATGGATCGTGCAGTGCATTTGGTAAGGCCAAAAACAACATTTCGTCCTTGTTTTCACGAAGTGACGGTAGTGAGGAAAATCGTAACGCAAAGTGAATGCAATTTTTTTTCACTACCGTCACTTCGTGAAAACAGCGACGATTTGTTACATGGATTAAAGAGTTGATTTTACTGCGTTGCTCATTGCACACGTTGCGACATTGACTGACTTAGAACTGCGCCATCGGCTGGAGCGGCCTTTGAGGTGGCATAATAGAGTGACATCGCACATGTCAGATCGTGCGTGCGCGCTGCATCTAAAAAGTCATAAAAACAGCGAGACCTGACTTCACGCACGGGGGTTTTCAGTTGATTTATACAAAAGTGCTATCCACCAAAAATAAGGTAATATCATAATTTGCAAGGCAAGATATCATACAATCAGTTGGTACCACTTTTTACTTACCCTTATGGGTAAGTTGATAATTTTCGGAACGGACGCAAAAGATATTTTCACAATTTCGTACCTAATTCCATAGAAAATTTCATATCTGGGTAGTTGTATGTTCCTCTTTCCATTGGTGATATCAGGTTTTCGAAATCTTACTGATTTGGGGGGATAGCGAACTTAGGTCACGCACGAAATTTGGTCACACCACCATACGTGCATTTTGCTTTTTTTTATTAATGTAAAGCGCTTAGAAACGTAGTAAGAGCTACACATTAAAGTCACGATTGTTAAATGATGATTATATTTCTTGCTCATCTAGATACGAATACCAGTTCCGAGACCTACACCTTCGCTGATGTCCCCGGTCCCGATGAGAACAAGAAGATCGAGAGTGGTGAAGAAGACGAAGGAGTCTTCTTCGAGATCAGTGATAAACCCATTCTACCATCCTACAATATTCGCATGGAGAATGATGATAAGTAAGTTTGATCCTATTTAAAACTGCCTGGGGTGGTGTTCTGAGAACGATGTTATATATTATGTTAGTAAAACGATGTTAAACTTCACAACAAGTCATAACTAGGCAAAGTCATATGTTAAAGGGAGTGTAGCATGGCAATACTGGTTAACGCCATCTACCACTTCTTTTGGACAACTGCACGTAAACGGATGGACTTGATTAACGGTCAGCGCGTTAGCGTTTGCGAAACAGACCGAAGTTCTCCTCACCCCCCGGTTTCGCGTATGTTGCACGCATGTGGATACTGAGGTCGCGTCGTCGTCCGTAGTCGTATTGTACCCTATTGGCCCCTTTAATGTTTGTGCAAACCTGGCTGATACCTGCCCAAGCACCAGCTGTTACTTCCGCGGAATTTGTTGCCTCCAGTTATTCTGGGCTCAGTCAGCCGGAGGGGTGGATTACACCTTCCCACTTTCCCCTGAGTTCGACCAATGAGTAAACAAATAATCTGAAACTTGGCACAGTGATAGAACATCCTAAAATGAAGAGGCCTACGATTATTGTCCATGTTTTTCAATTATCACTAATTTATGAACAATCCATTTATTCACGCATTGACACTTCGACAATATGCAGAATATTGGGACATATCCTTTTCCACTGCGCGCAATTCTGACGCTATACACGGTATCTGTTGGGTGAGAGTAGGCCCTACCTAACTTTGGTATCAAAATATGCGTTAGGTGCTGAGCTATATAATCATCAAAGCTCATGTCGCAAAGAGAAATGAAAATAATTACCCTCAAACAAATCTCAGTGCATGTGGGGATTTTAAGTAGGAATTATCAGTTTCTTTTGTCAAAAAAGATCATCGTTTTTAGGAATCTCTAGAACTGTTGATCTTGTTTAAGGGAATGATCCGAATCCTTGCAATAAATATTGTAATGCGATTAGATATAAGCTTACATGCTTCTCTCACTTGAAGTTGAAAACTCAAAAGTTGAATCCAACGGCCCAGTGATAGGTTTCGGATTTGCCAGGAGGTCGATGTATTTCAATATCTAATTCTGCAATCTCTTATTTTGTTGACAGATTCCGAAACTGGCTCCTGCTTTCTGACGTCACAGAACGACTGTCCCTAACAAAAGAAGAACTTCTGGACTCCAATCCCGATCTCGAGCCTGTCTCACTTCCAGCGTGTCAGTTTCACCAGGCTGCTCAAGAATCCCAAGTCACGAACTCGACCCAGGTGGGGCGTGGAGAGGATGACGTCAATGTTAACCCGGAAGTGAAAGGTGAAGAGGTGAAGTTACTCGAGCTGAATGATAACCTCAGGAGCGTTCTGGGTAGCGAAGTGAAGTACGTCAGGTGATAGAGACAGAACCTCATTTAGCGTCCTACAAGAGGCTTGTCAAAGGAGAACGGTGTTAAAGAGGATGCACATTCATGACATGAAAGACATGTTTGTACAACCATAGCAACATGCCAGGAAGGCAAACAATAAACAGAACCCGACTCGGCATCCTAAAAGAGACTTTGTCCGAGGGGGGATTTGCAAAATGAAAACGCATGAAGTGAAATAACTTCAATTGAAGCGACATGCCAGGGAGACACAGCATTGTTCTGACGCAATGAATGTTTGTAAAATTTGAGCTACCTGTAATCGCTCTGATTGGTTCCATATGCCCTTTTATGGAACTGGAAAGTAAATTAATGTACATTGCCAAACTACTCATATACGGAAGCGAGATCGGTGCTAATTATTTGAATTATTCATGTGCGGTAGCCTGTTGCTAATACTCGTTTATGTCTTTTAAACGGTCATACCGTACGATTTAATCTTGATACCTGCTGTTAGACCATGTAAATAGTCATGTATGGTGAATTTATTGGCGTAGCCGTTAGGCAATAACGAGACAGAGACTACAAATGACTACAAAACCTGCCCTGATAATGTGTTATACATTGTGATATCAGTCATGGGAGAATCGTTTTTCTTTCAAAAGTAGAAACAAACTCACATCACACCGAGACCAGATTGAGTATTTCATTCAACCCTATTGTTCTCGGTATATTGTAAGATGTGAATTTCATTTCGTCATTATAATGTATACCGCGTTTGCACTCTTTCATTCCCCGAAGAAGTTCGTCTTTCATGTAAGGCAAGATTGTTGCTTCCTAAACGTATCTTAGCTGCCTGTGTAAATAGTATGGTGTCCGATGAGAACAAATAACTGGATTTTTTTTCTTCTTCTGTCTTTCTCTAAAGACAAAAATGTAAATGGCACGGCAGTCGTTTCTCCTTTTCATTTGTATTTCATTAGACCATACGATGTTTAGACGTGTTATATGTACATGTACATGTATTGTTATATATTTTCGAAAAAAAAGTACTTTTATTAGCTCAGTTTGGGGTTCACAGTTTGTTCTTTTACAAATGCAATAAGTCAGGTTTTAATATGATTATATTGTACAACTCTGTCATGACCACTTGAAATGTATTTGTACTACATAAATCTAAGGTTGTTATATACTGTACATACATTGATTGACTTTGCATGTGCATATAACGTGACTTACGTGATAAGTACTGTATAAAACAATTACTAGTTTCAACTTTGCGTAAAAGTTAACTGTTTGCCAACATGTTTTCCTTGTTTGTTCGTTCGTTTATATTACAGAGCAATATTAGTTTGTCTTTGATGTATTTTTCCTTGTAGGAAACCATTGAGTTCGTTCTACATAGGATGTTTAGTTTTGATAACCGAGTATTCACCAATGAGGTGAAATCTATATTACATTTGAAAGAATGCAACGTTCCGTATCTTTCATTCTGTTATTTTTGTTCCTTGTAAAAACATTTATAGTTTGTTAGTTTATATGCTTATTTCCACATTGGAACGTTTTTAAAGTTATATTATTTTGTAGATGATAATACATTGTTCTGACAATGACGTATCCAAAACGGCTAAAAAGGGGAAAGCGTACCCTTCCACCCCTCCCCCACCCCTCCCCCCCCCCCTTCATCTTCCTCCTCCCAGACGGGATGCGGAATGTATCTGGGCAGCCCCTTAGAGATGGAATTTGTTTAAACCCATTGCAAGTGCATATGGGAGGGGGTGTACCCGCCGTCTTCCAATCACCTGGATACGCCATAATATTAAATATGTTGACACGTTGTTGTTATTTTTGTTTTCTAGTTGACACATCGTTGTTGTTTTTGTTTTCTAGTCGGATGTAAATAATCTTAATGGTCGTAGTTGTTAAGTCTTATTTATTTGCGTCTTCCTTATACAATCCGTTTATGTCAATAAATGGTTGACTGTTTCCAATACCTACTTTGTGTCAGTATGTGAGCGTTTTATTAGCGTCAAAGTGGCCATACTTCTGATTCCGAGTGAGTTATGTGTGTAATAACGGTTATCAATTATGTATGAAATCGATTCCTGGTAATACTAGGGTAATACAAATTGCAGGTACCAGATGTGGCTGCTGCCCTGGATAAATTAGTCTAATTTATCACTATACACTAATCCCCACTCAAGAAGTGCATAACATTCATTTACATCAATTGCGAGAGAGAGAGGGATACTTGTGTACCTTTCTGACTACCTCTCTCTCTCTCTCTCTCTCTCTCTCTCTCTCTCTCTCTATTTCTGTATTGTAGTTGCATTTCTACAACTCAAAGGGTGAAGGAATAGAACGCGGGGATACATACATGGGGGTAATGGTAACGGTCACAACCAGACACAAAAGGAAGCAAATAAGCCGTTAGAGAGAGAGAGAGAGAGAGCGCGCGCGAAGCGAGAAAACGAAGAGAGAGAGAGAGAGAGAGAGAGAGAGAGAGAGATAGAAGAGAGAGAGAGAGAGGGGGTCGGGTCAGAAGGGAGAAAGAAAGAATATAGGAATGGATCTGTCACTTTAGCTGTAAATGATCGACCCTTATCCTTATGTCAACGCCTTTACATTTTGGTTAAGATTTAAGACTCGTTGTGAATGCGTATCTTTAGGTCGGAGAGAGATCTTAAATCGCGAACATGGACAATGTCGTTACGCTTCTCATAACCAGTGATTAAACAAATATATTATTTCTTTCTTTCCGCCTCTCCCTCTTTTCAGTCTATTTCTGTTTTTCTTTTCAACCTAGTCTATTTTCTTTTGAAGGAATCGGTCTGGCGATTATCAACTGAATGAGATGGCGTGGGAGTGTCGGGGAAACGTGGGCAAATTGAAGGGGGATATGACCTTGATAACAATAATATACAAAATGATGCATGCGAAGAGATCCTTGCACGATCTATCCGCACATGAGGCTGAATACATCTATCGTACAAAGCCGTCAAACCGAGGACAATAAACAGCAACAACAATAGCATAGTAGATAGATCATGTAATGAACGAAAGAAAAAATGCATCATAAACTGTTGAATAGGTTATATTTGTAACTGCCATTATTGTTTCGCTTTTTCAATGCAATGGTGTGAGGCTGTGCATTGCACGATAAAACACTGTCCTATTCATTCTATTCCTCTCTCTCCCTCACCCTCTTTCTCTCACCATTTCTTTCTTTTTTCCGTTCTCTCTCCCTCTCTCTCTCTCTCTCTCTATCCCTCCCTCACTCTTTGTATTTCTCTCTCTCTCTCTCTTCCTCCCTCCCTCCCTCTTTCTCTTTCTTTTTCTTTCTCTCTCTCTCTCTCGCTCTCTCCCTTCCTTTTCTTTTAAATAAATGAATTTCCGCCGTTCGTAAGGGGGACACGCGCACCCATGTCCCCCCCCCCCCCCCCTCCCCGTGTAGCTATAGGGCCAACCACGGATATTTCTTCTTACATGTAAGCAGGTCATTTAATATCTCTACATCAACAGCTCATTAGGGAACAATAATGAAGTGAGTCTCGCTCTGCCGACCGCTTGATGTGGTTTTCTCGCGCTACTGAGCTCGCTCATTTCATGTAGGTACCGTGTTTACTGACGGCTTTGAATGAAAACATGTCCCTAGCTTGTCACAGCAGCGGGGGTGTAACATTAACCGCGAATCAACTCCAACATATAAATGAGGTAATATTTCAAAGACTTCATTTATTTCTATAGTTCGGTTTGCAAGACTCCACATCAAAAGCATGAGATAGGCATAATGCTTCAATATCTGTATGAATCAGTATCGTCTTGCCTCTCAGCAGTACCTAAGGGCTGACATTTCTATGAAAATGTAATGAGACGTGGACATACAAGAGGCTCCCTGGTCTCACCTATAGCCCAGTTTTCAAACGTATTGAAATTCATGGATGTTTCTTCCCGATGCACGTTGTCATGATAATGATGACGTTTTAAAATTGCCTACTGATATTTGTAAGGTGGTATAACAATCGCTGTGCGGGGAAAATATATCTAAATTTATGTATAAAAATAACAGGAGTTACCATTGTAAAAATAATTAATATCTTAGGTGGTAGGACCTATAATGCTCGCAATCTATAATGAACGCACTACTACGATCATAACCTTATTTTAGTCATATTATTTTAGTTATTCATTTATTTACCACAGGTTTGATAGAACACCTTGATCTGCACGATTTTATTTTCATAGCGTTAAAGAGAAATACAATGAGGAATATAATATATGCACGAATCTATGTATATTCACCAATGGTGTCAATCGTCCATTGGGGGTGATGAAAAGGCGGGAGAGGAATTAATCAATTTAAAAGTAATCGTAATGATTCGGAAGAGAGAATTTTCAGGCTGTTTTAATATCCCCGATATCGCAAACACGCGATAGATACGAGATCATCCTTGGACCTTTTTTCCCTGTTTTTCCAAGGATATGGTTTAATACTCTTAAATAGAAAATGGCCACTCTCGCTTCTTTCTAGTCATTACTTCTCCACTTAAATTTCACAAATCTACCAGCAAGATTTGAAGTACATATACGTTTTCATTTTTTCCATGTTGTATTCATTTTCGTGTCATGTTTCTTCCTATATTACCCTTCATTATTATGGGTATATTACGTTACAGAGATCAATGTTCTTTCCTTGTACATTTTTATTTCCCGATGGCTACTAAATAAAGGATTAAAGTAACATGCACTCAACGAATAAAGCTATAGACTGTATATCGCACTCTCCCTTTCTCTCTCTCTGTCTCTGTCTGTCTGTCTGTCTCTCTCTCTCTCTCTCTCTCTCTAGCTCCCTCTCATGTTTCTCCCTACTGTTAATCATGTTGGGGATAATATGTTACAGAGAATGATGTTCTTTCCTCGGATTTCCCAATGGCTACTAAATAAAGGATTAAAGTAACATGCACTCAACGATTATAACAGCTTTAGACTGTATTTCTCTCTCTCTCTCTCTCTCTCTCTCTCTCTTCTTCTTCTTCTTTATCTCTATCTCTCTCCCTCTCTTTCTCTCTCTCTTTTACTCATATTTCCCCCTACTCTTCATCTTGTTAGGGATATTAATTATTATGTTACAGAGATCGATGTTCTTTCCTTGTATTTCACAGTGGCTACTAAATAAAGGATTAAAATAAAGAACCAAACAATCAGCGATCAAGGCTCAAGACTGTACGTCTCCCTCCCTACTCCCCCCTCTCTCTCTCTCTCTCTCCCGTTATCTCTCTCTCTCTCTCTCTCTCTTCCCTCTCCATATTCTCTCTCTCTCTCTGTTATACTGCAAACTTGACACTAATGCATTCCCCTTGTATTTCTTATTCTCTCTCTCTTTCTCTCTTTCTCTCCCTCTTACTTTTTTGTTTATCTCTCTTTCTCTCCCTCTTATTTTTTGTTTATCTCTCTCTCTCTCTTCCCGCTCTCTTATAATGTGAGCCATTATTGTTTCGCTTTTTCAATGCAATGGTGTGAGGCTGTGTATGGCACGATAAAACACTGTCCTATTCATTCTATTCCTCTCTCGCTCCCTCACCCTCTCTCTCTCTCTCTCTCTATCCCTCCCTCACTCTTTTTATTTCTCTCTCTCTCTCTCTTCCTCCCTCCCTCTTTCTCTTTCTCTTTCTTTTTCTCTCTCTCTCGCTCTCTCCCTTCCTTTTCTTTTAAATAAATGAATATCCGCCGTTCGTAAGGGGGACACGCGCACCCATGTCCCCCCCCCCCTCCCCCGTGTAGCTATAGAGCAAACCACGGATATTTCTTCTTACATGTGAGCAGGTCAATTAATAGCTCTACCTCAACAGCTCATTAGGGAACAATAATGAAGTTGAAAGTCTCGCTCTGTCGACCACTTGATGTGGTTGTCTCGTGCTACTGAGCTCGCTCATTGCATACATGTAGTTACCGTGTTTACTGACGGCTTTGAATGGAAACATGTCCCTAGCTGGTCACAGCAGCGGGGGTGTAACATTAACCGCGAATCAACTCCAACATATAAATGAGGTAATATTTCAAAGACTTCATTTATTTCTATAGTTCGGTTTGCAAGACTCCACATCAAAAGCATGAGATAGGCATAATGCTTCAATATCTGTATGAATCAGTATCGTCTTGCCTCTCAGCAGTACCTAAGGGCTGACATTTCTATGAAAATGTAATGAGACGTGGACATACAAGAGGCTCCCTGGTCTCACCTATAGCCCAATTTTCAAACGTATTGACATTCATGGATGTTTCTTCCCGATGCACATTATCATGATTACTATGAAGTATCACAATTGCCTACTAATATTTGTACGGTGGAAGTTAGAATTCAGATAACAATCGCTGATCGGGGAATTTTTTTTCTTTTAAATTTATGTATAAAAATAACAGGAGTTACCATTGTAAAAATAACTAATATCTTAGGTGGTAGGACCTATAATGCTCGCAATCTATAATGAACGCGCTACTACGATCATAACCTTATTTTAGTTATTCATTGATTTACCACAGGTTGGATAGAACCCATAGGAAAGAAATGAGCCTGCCGCATACTCCTGCGGCAGACTTGCCGCAGATCTGCGGCAGACTTGCCGCAGACAGTCATCTTTTTCACATGCAAATTAGTTTTGCCGCAGACTTGCCGCAGACTTGCCGCATACTCTTTCAGTATGATGAAGAGTCTGCGGCAGGTCTGCCGCAGACTTGCTGCAGACTTGCGGCAGACTTGCCGCATACTCTTTCAGTATGATGAAGAGTCTGCGGCAGGTCTGCCGCAGACTTGCTGCAGACCTGCCGCATACTCTTTCAGTATGATGAAGAGTCTGCGGCAGGTCTGCCGCAGACTTGCCGCATACTCTTTCAGTATGATGAAGAGTCTGCGGCAGGTCTGCCGCAGACACTTCATCATACTGAAAGAGTATGCGGCAAGTCTGCGGCAAGTCTGCGGCAAAACTAATTTGCATGTGAAAAAGATGACTGTCTGCGGCAGGTCTGCCGCAGACTTGCCGCATACTCTTTCAGTATGATGAAGAGACCTGCTGCAGACCTGCCGCATACTCTTTCATATCCAGTACGTGGCAATAAAGTATGCATGTAGAAGAACCAGTGATAAACTGATTGATACTTCATAATCGATATTGGCAATTTCGATATTACCAATTAGGTAATACCAATATATATCGATATTACCAATTAGGTATATTCTATTCTCAATTGTATTAACTTCATCACATTGATCATTTGAAGTGTATTCACGAGTAACATTTAAAGTGACACAGGCTCGTACACATATATATACTAAATATGTATATTGTTTCTTGGTTAGTAATCATAGTTTCTTGGTTAGTAATCAATATATCTATTGCTTAAACGTGAATGTAATTGTAACATGATCAGACAAAATAATCTATTGGTTAATAATGGCAAAAGGAAAATAGAAATCACAAAAATGATGTGCATTGTCTTAATTTGCTTAACAAATCATGATAAATGTATTTTTCTGTCACACGTGTAAAGTATTAATGAATATGCATGAGATGATTGGTTTCAATTGGCCCTATTAGACTTTAATGGGATTTCCTGTGGCAGACCTGCCGCAGACTGTTCCTGTGGCGTACTGGTATGCGGCAAGTCTGGAGCAAAGTTTCGCCCTGCCGCAGATCTGCCGCAGACTGTTCCTGTGGCATACTAGTATGCGGCAAGTCTGGAGCAAAGTTTCATCCTGCCGCAGATCTGCCGCAGACTGTTCCTGTGGCATACTAGTATGCGGCAAGTCTGGAGCAAAGTTTCATCCTGCCGCAGATCTGCCGCAGACTGTTCCTGTGGCATACTAGTATGCGGCAAGTCTGCAGCAAAATTTCATCCTGCCGCAGATCTGCCGCAGACTGTTCCTGTGGCATACTAGTATGCGGCAAGTCTGGAGCAAAGTTTCATCCTGCCGCAGATCTGCCGCAGACTGTTCCTGTGGCATACTAGTATGCGGCAAGTCTGCAGCAAAATTTCATCCTGCCGCAGATCTGCCGCAGACTGTTCCTGTGGCATACTGGTATGCGGCAAGTCTGCAGCAAAATTTCTTTCTGCCGCATACTTCGGCATACTCTTTGCCGCAGACTTTTAGTCTGCGGCAGGTCTGCGGCAGATCTGCGGCAGGTCTGCGGCAGGTCTGCGGCATACTTTTCACTTTCCTATGGGAACACCTTGATCTGCACGATTTTATTTTCATAGCGTTAATAAGAAATACAATGAGGAATATAATATATGCACGAATCTATATATATTCACCAATGGTGTGAATCGTCCATTGGGGGCGATGAAAAGGCGGGAGAGAAATTAATCAATTTAATGGTAATCGTAATGATTCGGAAGAGAGAATTTTCAGGCTGTTTTAATATCCCCTTGTCTCCTCATCGTTAACCGCTTCTGTTGATATGATGATATTGTGAAACCTGTCTATAAAGACCACCCAAGGGAGACAAGAAAATGGTCTTTATAGACAGGTGGTCTTTATAGGCAGGTGGTCTTTATGTACAGGTTCCTTTAGTACATGTTTCAATGCGAAACCATTTTCAAGGGAAAGAAAAAATGACGTCTTTGTAGACAGGAGGCGGGCACTAAGATGGAGAAAGAAAGATTCTTCTACGCGCACATTTTAATCATTTTTTGTAATCACTCTAGTATTGGAAAAATAGAACTTTTAATAGCAAATCTCTCGCATTATTCTTCTGTTCCTTCTTTGTTTACATTGTTTTAAAATTGAAGTGAGAAGAAAAAAATGTATTAAAAATCGGTACAATTTATGTTACAAATTGATGTTTGCTTTCGCTTGATACATAGATATTCGCATAGCAGGAATTACTGTAAATGATTTTACCAGTCACGACTTAGATGCCAAAGATTTTTTTTCTCTTTCCGAGTGATACTTATATTCATAACACCCATGCTTATATTTACAACCATGGAATTCGCTTGATATAAACCCGATATCGCAAACACGCGATAGATACGAGATCTTCCTTGGACTTTTTTTCCCTGTTTTTCCAAGGATATTGTTTAATACTCTTAAATAGAAAATGGCCACTCTCGCTTCTTTCTAGTCATTACTTCTCCACTTAAATTTCACAAATCTACCAGCAAGATTTGAAGTACATATACGTTTTCTTTTTTTCCATGTTCCACTTTTATTCATTTTCGTGTCATGTTTCTTCCTATATTACCCTTCATTATTATGGGTATATTATGTTACAGAGATCGATGTTCTTTCCTTGTATATTTTTATTTCCCAATGGCTACTAAATAAAGGATTAAAGCCGCATGGACCCTACTGTATTAGGTCCATGATTAAAGTAACATATGCACTCAATGAATAAAGCTATAGACTGTATATCTCACTCTCCCTTTCTTTCTCTCTGTCTCTCTGTCTCTCTCTCTCCCTCTCTCTCTCCCTCTCTTTCTCCCATGTTTCTTTCTACTCTTCATCATGTTGGGGATATTATGTTACAGAGATCGATGTACTTTCCTTGTATTTCCCAATGGCTTCTAAATAAAGGATTAAAGTAACATGCACTCAACGATTATAACAGCTTTAGACTGTATTTCTCTCTCTCTCTCTCTCTCTCTTTCTCTCCTTCTTTATCTCTCTCTCTCTCTCTCTCTCTTTCTCTCTCTTTTACTCATATTTTCCCCTACTCTTCATCTTGTTAGGGATATTAATTATTATGTTACAGAGATCGATGTTCTTTCCTTGTATTTCACAGTGGCTACTAAATAAAGGATTAAAATAAAGAACCAAACAATCAGCGATCAAGGCTCAAGACTGTATGTCTCCCTCCCTCCTCCCCCCCCCCTCTCTCTCTCCCATTATCACTCTCTCTCACTCTCTCTCTCTTCCCTCTCCATATTCTCTCTCTCTGTGTGTTATACTGCAAACTTGACACTAATGCATTCCCTTGTACTTCTTATTCTCTCTCTCTTTCTCTCTTTCTCTCCCTCTTACTTTTTTGTTTATCTCTCTCTTTCTCTCCCTCTTATTTTTTTTTGTTTCTCTCTCTCTCTCTCTCTCTCTTCCCGCTCTCTTATAATGTGAGCCTCTCGTCTAGTTCTCCAAAACGATACACAATATCTGGTTAAAACTCAAATTTTATTTTCTCAAATGAAAATATGAATATTGACAGTGTACAGAGTCATATTTATACAGAAATAATTGCAATACGATATCCCGCAAAATATAGATCAGACCTTCTATCAAAATTACTGCACAATAATACTTATTATATTGATAGGTGGACAGTTGAATATACACAAAAAACAAAAACAAAATCAATGACGCATATAACATAATGTATTTCTCGATAATATACAGACATGGTTTGGTACCAAATACCAGAAAACATTTACTATTGTCCATATTTCAAAAATTCTTTCATCTAGGAACATGGAAATGATATAAAGTTCATAAGGTTCCTATTTATTGTCCATTTAACAACGGAAATTCGTCGTGTTACATGGTATTGCGATTCACATATATATAACATATACCCTCATACACAAATCAGTAAAATAATTTGAATACTGATAGTCTTAGGCCCTTTGAATATAATAATATTTAAAAGACGATTTTTTTTTTCTTTTGGAAATAAGTGTGCAAAGCATGAACCGAAAAAATGGAATATGTACATCGACCCACATTTCTTTGTTCGAAGCATATTTAGCGAAAAATTGCACGTACAAAATTCGTGGTTTGAGCTGATGTTTCGTGATTCATACACCGGTTTGGAAATGGTCTTCAAAAGACTTTAAAGAGTATACTTTTAAAATTTCCTTTGCCTCTAATGAATATTTGTCCGTGAGAATACTTCGCAGGATAATAATAATATTCAGTTCTTGTATGGCGCATAATACGTTATGAAATAACATCTCTATGCGCTTCCAAAGAGCTTTTGGAAATTATTACCCTAGCTCTAGGATAACTCCAAGTTGACAGATCGCCTCTTACAAAATAATTCTCTGTTCCTATTGTGTTAAAAAAATCGTGCGTATGTTTGTTTGACAAGATAAGATATGAAGGAAAATGATGAAGAGGAATCAAGTCCGTTCCTATCCTTCTTGTGTCGAATCAATTTCATGAAACCATTTGGCATAATCTATACCTCTTCGTGAAGAACGGACATAACAATAATAATAATATTCCGGTTATAAAAATAGCGCTTAATACAATATCTCTCAGCGCTTTACAGATATACTATTACACCGGTTATTATATTCAGTGCTTGCCCGCACACACAGTGTGCACAATCTCCACTCCCTGGGAAGCATTCCAGCCAGGCGTTACTTGACGCACAAAAACTGTTTGACCAACAATGACGGTCGCATCCTACCGGGTACCCATTTAACACCTGGGTGGAGAGTAGCAAGTGCAGGTTAATATCTTGCCAAGGGATTTCAGTGCCGTGTCGGGATTCGAACCCTCGGCCTTCGCATCAGTCAAGCGCCTTAAACCACTCGGCCACGACACTCCCACGGGCGTTCAGGGGTGTGAATCACCATCATCCTGCAGTTCTGGTGGAACCTACGAGAGAAAAAACAGGAAAAGATTTAAGATTTTAGATATTTTTCATTCAGGATCAATTCATCTACTGTGGAGTTTTCTACAAAAGTACCATAGTCCTGGAAGTGAAGGATAAGGCTCAATTTCGTTTAAAGAAATAAAATCCAAAATGTAATCGATATAGCGCTTTTACCTTGCAGTTACAAAGAACCGCAAATGAATAAATAAATAAATAAATAACTGCACACAGTTCTCCACGCTTTTGGGCCACGATGCAAATTGTTTCATCGGTATAAACAAGAGGTAATGACATCAGAGGTTAGAGTAAAAAGGCTGTTTATTCAAAGGTCTGTCACTGATATACATAACATCTCTTTTCAAAAAAGAATGAGGAAATCATGGAATAGTTTAGATGATGATAAAGTTAATGCACCCAGTGTTTACAATTTCGAAAACGGCCGGGTCTGGACAAATACTGGAGAAGTGGACCTGCCAACTTCAAATTCGACGCCGACCCACCCGGTCATGATCCGGCAAACTTAACAAGAAGAGGGGATTTGTAACTAACTTTAGAGGTTTAAGCCTGCATTGAGAAGATTCCATAAGTATCGATAAGTATCACTTAAAAAAACAGGTGAGTCAGTGTACTGCAATATCCTCGAACAAAATAAATGGGACTCTAGAAGTTTCTTGAGCTGGTCAACAGAAGAAGCAGTCTCCTCAATAGTAGCCGGTTCCACAACTTTTCTGCAACTGTAAAAATGTTACTTTCTTTGATAATCAATATCATTCTAAATCATAACTTATTATTGTAAAGATACTACAAATCACTATTCTGTTAACTTCATATTTAAAGGCGTGGTGTGAATATAGCACACTCTTCGTGTCTGCTTACCTTATCATCGGCTGAGCAGGTTCAAGCTCGTTGTTGCTCCACAGAGAGAAGAGAATCCATAAACTCATCTTCTAGATTACACCTCTCTACTTTCATGTCTTCAAGATAGCCTGCGAAAAAAGCAGAGACCTACGATAAAACCACGATCCAATCAAAAGATATCTTCAGCTACAAAGACAGGAAGACAAGTTAGTAACATTTACAATAGAGGACTAACACTTTGTGGCAATTTGTTTAATGTTTTAACCCCTTTGATATTGGCCACTACCTACAAACAGGACAATTAAGATTTCTTTTTTACATTATCGGTCTACTTTTCAACACGACTGTTTTCTTCTTTTAACGAACAAATTGCGGAATTTTAGATGATGATATTGATCAATTTCTTTTTCTCACACATCTCCTCATAGTCGCCTCATCCCCCTATTTCCCTGTATCTCTATGTATCTATCTACATTCTAATCATACAGAGTTATTTAACCCTTTTCAGCTGAAATTTCTAAAATATCAAAAATATCCCATCAAGATATCCATCTTACCAAATATAAGGCTCTTCATTTCGCTGCTCTGGTCCAATGCTTGTTGAATACATGTTTGCCCTGTAGCTTTAGGTAGAAAGGGATCAGCGCCGTGGGACAACAGAAGGCGCACAAGATCAGTGTGGTTATTTTCTACGGCATCGTTGATTGGTCTAAATGAGATAGAGAGAGCATTGGTCCGTTATACAATGAGTATTGGGCAGCTTGGGAAGCTTAAACGTGTAGCGAGAAGGCGACTTGTTGAGTTGTTCAAGTCGGGAGGGCGAGACGGCGACTTGGCGCCTTTTCGTCTTCTCGTCTTAAACATGGCGAGTTTTAATTACTCGCATTCTCGCCTCTCCGTCTAAAATAGGCGACTTGGCTTTCGTTTAATTACAAGCTTTCGTATGCAACTGAGAGAAACGGTGCACGCATAAAAAAGCTGAAACCTTCTTGCCGATAAACTGATAGAAAAGTAAAGGAAGTCTCTGTGGAATTAATTAACATTGTCCATTATTTGACCATATTAATTCACGCATTCTGTCAAAAATATCTAGGCTTTCAGAGATTCAATATTACACCAAACTTAAATGAAAAATGCATCTATTACTAAATTATCATAACTTAAATTGCCGTTACCATTCACGTAAAATAAGACACAGAATGAATAAGAGAATGAAAGCAAAGGAGAGAGAGGGAGAGGGAGGGAGGGAGGGAGGGAGGGAGGGAGAGAGAGAGAGAGAGAGGGAGAGAGAGAGAGAGAGGGAGAGAGAGAGAGAGAGAGAGAGGGAGAGAGGGGGAGAGAGGGGGGGGGGGGGGGGGGGGGAAAATAAAGAGAGGGGAAAGACGAGGTTCAAAGACTACAGAGTGCTCCCTGACCTTGTCCCGTCGTTAGCTTGTGCGTTCACGTCAGCGCCATGATTGAGTAGAAACATGGCGACATTGAGATGTCCTGGTACACAGCTATCATGTAGAGACGTGTAGCCTGCCTTGTCACGAACGTTCACGTCCTCCACGCTATTAGCAATGCAGTAATGTAGTATCTCCTGTGTATGAACGGTGACAAGAATTAACATCTTTAAAGCCTCACTGCACTATTTAAAGCTACTTGCGCCCTCTATATAGCTAACAATGCCTAAGCGGTGACCGGTCCCCCATGGTCCCTATTTTCTTATGTTATTTGAGAGGTGATTTGATGAGATAACCGCCTGTCAGTGACCATGCATGGAGGTCTAATCCCTCCTGGCCTAACTAGTGCGGATAGGCTTGAAGACAGACTGTTTTGATCCTTACATAACGATCGCAAAAGATTCTCCAAAAACCAAGCCAATAAACAACCTTGTCTATCACGTTTTTTGCAATGTGTCATCAGTTAAATGACGTTTTGCGTAATTAAGCCGAACGTGCTTTCTATGGGGTATAGAAAAGGGTTTTGCCCGTGAGTTGATTTCTCGATGACTTTGCGTTCCATTTCAAATAACAATCACATTACTTCCTGTTGAACTGACATTTTAGACAAAAATCATATTCCCATAACAGTATGGCTATGATGTGGGTTACATCTACTTCCAACACCGCGCTTTAATTGAGAAAAAGAAAATTGGGGTGAAAAGATAATTGCCTTAGAATATAGCAAAATACTCGTGGCAGATTACTCTTTGCTGGGTGAAAATGTCTTTTCGTCATTCTTCTTGTTTTAAAATAAAGATCCATTATATAACACTGTATTGTACAAGGTTAAATCTATGTTTAAACAATATATTGTTTGTCTAAGGTTCACCTAATGTAAAATCATTTACGGAAACATTCATTTCTCTGTCCTGAATTGTATATTTGAAACAGTTCAGAAGTCAAAAGAGTTAAGAGGTCGAAACATTCATGAGTTTCTCCATGAAAACGAAAAGAGAAAGACGGGAAAGGGGAGTAGTAAACAAGTTACAAGATTTTCAATTTATGAATCCATAAGCAGATCTATTTATATTCATGGAGACAAAACGTATATTCTTACCATATTTCCAAGTTTAGCGGCTCGATGGAGTAAGGTTTCACCGCGTTTCCTGTTGATAACGACTTTAGTCATTCCTGTGAACGGATGTTAAAAAAAAACGAAAAAAAAAAAACGAGTAGACTTGTTTTACTTGTATCATGTTTGATAAAAAACTAACCTGAAATATGTCAAGCGTGATAAGAATCTTGGTGAACAAGAAATATGCATTTGGCAGTTCAGCAGAAATAGACATATTCACAAAGTTTATACATATTTTTTAAACAAAATCATTCTCGACAACTGAAAAGGCTTGTTCGACATGGTCACAACTAATGTATGAAAAGTGAATTCCATTCATGTGGGTGTCATTTTGCCTAGCCGGTGAATCAAAAAGTTGGTAACCAAGGGTGTGGGGAAAAAACATGCATAAATTGAAATAAACATGTCTATTGGTTTGCAATCCATTTCCTCCACGAAACGTATTCCTGATTCCACCTCTAGACCAAACACCATACATAATCCTAACCCTAATCCTAGGCCTAGCCTACAATCAAACGTTAACTCTAACCCTAACCATACATCGTTGACGATGTATATAGCCTGGGGAAGATCTTGCCAGAGCAAATGTTGGTTCACCAATTTGGGAAGTGAGATTAAATATCCAATGAGAACGAGATTAAAATAAATCTGTATGTTGATATCATTACCTAATGGCAGAACGGATGAATCAGTATCCACTTCTCTTGGCTTCATCTTACTTGTGGTATCAGCCTGGGTACAAAAGGAAATGAAAGCGACACTATTTATTAATAATAGCTATATATGTTTATTACCCACATATCCATCCAAGGTAATGCACAAAGCATCTACTATCAAAGGAACGAAATCATGTATGAATGCCGCCCTTTGTGTATATTTAGGAAAGAATATAATGAAAAGATATTCTCCAGGAAAACATTTCTGCGATTTATTATCATTAAACGTCCGCTGCTGTTGGCAGTTTTTGTATTTTTGAAAAATGGTAAGCATTTACTGTCGTAATGAAAAAACTTACCATACACATCAATGAAATTTCATAATTAAGGTCAGGCAAACTTTATCAATAACTTTCTTCGGTTATCGTAACATACGATAACCGAAGTTAGTTATTGATAACGTTTGCATTAATCAATGTCCTCAGTTTACTTCTTAAACATTATTGTGCCGTCGTCAACCATCCTATAACTGCTTGAATTACGTTCTCACCTCAATACTGCCACTGACTTCTTCCCTTGCTTGCAGTTCATCTTCACGTGGAGGGTTTGTATCGGCCTGGTGCTCTGCAGATGAAGCAGAGGCCTTTGTCCTATCCCTGTGCTTATGTTTGGTCTTTCGAGCTCGGTTACGTTTCCGGTGTGACAGGATGCCATCGCTGCTGCAGTTTCCATGATGGTGGATGTTCCGAACGTTGACGAACTTCAACTTGATATGATTCTGGGAATTCTCTCCTATCTCGACCCTCAGAGGTTGATGCGAACCAAGGCTGGACTTGGGTTTGGACCCGGGTGACCCGGATGTAGCCTGTGCTTCTGAGATCGTATCCAATTCCCCGCCACTTGGGTCAGAGTACGTTGCCTTTTTTCTTCTAGCCTGATGATGATGCACATGTTTGCTTCGTGGAGAGTAGTCCTCATCACGGTCGTTGTCGACATCGTCTTCTGTTTCGTCATCGATGGCATCATCCAGGTCGTGTTGTAACAGCTCCATGACCAAAGCGTGACTTGACTGGTCTTGACCTGCATTTAAAACAAGAACAAACTGACTATAAAATGTCTTCATGGTTGTATTGTGCAATATTAGAGTGATACCGAAGTGACATTAGATAATGGAAACTGATGAATAAAGACATTTCTTTGCGAATGAACTAACTGCCTCTACTATCTGACTCTACTCTTGGCAAAGGTAATCACGCGGTCAAAATGGTGCCTGTGTGCAACATGCATTACCTGATGAAGCAGTTCTTGTTCTGGTAGGCAGTATGGTAGGCACGAAGTCTTTGAAAACATAGTGTCTGGATGGTGACGAAGAACGGGAGCGTTTGTCACCTGAAATCAAGAAATATTTACACAGTTAGATTTATATTGCGAGGGTGCAGATAAACGTCATACTCCAATCAAAGGAAGATTCACATTTATTTTATGAGAAACAGGGATTACGGTTATAATACCATGTGATACTCGTGCTTTCTATGGAGTAGTAAAAAACATGATGACGTGTTCATCACTGAAAGTTCCCTCATCTTATTCAAAGACGGTCTAATATACCAAGTGCGTTACATTTTATTTAGTCTTACTGAACGTTCATTGGGGTTAGATGATCAAGACTGTGATCCATACATGAAGACATCCAGACACGTCAAACCAAGCTAGGAGTATAAGCAATAGTCGTCCCGACCCTTATCATAGATTTAAGAACTACGCATTATGTGGCCCTAAATTGTATACATCAGCAGATATTCCAAAGAGTATAGCACTCAGATATGAAAACAATCCTTACATCGATCTTGACTACCTGACGTTGAAGGGGACTTTCTTCGTCTTTTCCTTGACTGCCGTCCATTGGTGTTGATTCGTCGTTTTTGTTTTCGTCTGCAGCTCTTGATATTCAAGCAAGAGTCTTTCTTGTCATCTACCCTCTCTTTCCTCCGAATGATTTGCTTCCTAATGTCTTCTATGCGGACTACAGCGTTCTATAATAAGGAAATGAGAACATCAATCAAAGACGGTTCTAGGACACCTATGACATCCACCCAGGATAACCACCCCCAGTCAACTACCCATAGGACAGCTACCCCCTAGGACAACTACCCCCCCCCCAGATAACTACCCCTATGACAACCATCCTCTAGGACAACTACCCCCGGACAACTATCCTAGGGGGTAGTTGTCTGGGGATAGTTGTCCGGGGTGTAGTTGTCCTAGGGGGTAGTTGTCCTGGGTAGTTGTCCTAGGGGGTAGTTTTCTGGGGTAGTTTTCCGGTGGTAGTTGACTGGGGATGGTGACCCGGGGGTACTTGTCCGAGGGTAGTTGTCCAAGGGGGTAGTTGTCCTCTAGGGTAGTTGTCTGGGGGTAGTTTTCTGGGGGTAGTTGACTGGGGGTGGTGATCCGGGTTGGATGTCCAGGGGGTAGGTGTCCGGATACGATCAAAGACAAAAACACAATGCTCTCATATAATAATCTGAACTGAGCACAACGATTTTCAATCATTCAAGCATTGTTCCATCAGTCAGTTAGTAAATGCTCAAATGATAAGGTAATGTCGACAGTCAAAGGTAAAATATAATTATTGGAGAGCTTAATTTATTTAATATTTAATGTCATTTATCGGTCTACTCATGAATCCGCCTTTAGATGATAAAAAGTCAATTTCATTTGTAACTCAATTAAGTTGCGAGTATAGTATGTTTTCCTTTTACCCATCTTATGCAGGGCTTTCTACTTGAATAAACTGCATGATAGTAATTGTTGATTGGATAGGTATAAACGTTTTCTATAATGTTGAGTTTTGTTTTGTTTTGTTTTCAGAATGAAACTCACCTTTAGAGTATGCTTTTCCTTGCACAGGTATTCTATGTCCGTCTTAGCATTGGCATCATGCGCCTTGGTTGAAGGGCAGTCTGTCTCGTTGGCTTTCCTGCTTGATACGTCACGGAGACGAGATGGTGATTCTGCCTCATCCTCGAAAATAAAATCACTCTTCTTCATCACCTCCTCAGAAGAAGTCTTGGCCTCGGTGCAGAGTTCCACTCTCTTTATCGAAGTGTCGCTTAAACATGGCACTGGACAGTCCAGCTTTAGAGGGTTGTGCGTTTGTGATGGGGCATCGGTAGCCCTACTGTGTTCTTTAGTAACTTGGGGTAACACATTTGCAGAATGAACAGTAGGTTGTGACAGTTCCAAAGCTTTAGATGCGAACTGACGCTCCTGATGAATTGAATGCATTTCGAAGGTCGTAACAGCTTGGGGACCTTTGGCAGATTCTTTAGGTTCGGGTTGTGTCTCATGTTCATTAGATGATACCAAAGAGGCTGTTGTCGAGTTTTCCGTTAAGTTTTTTTCCGTCCGTTTGGTCTCGCCGTGCAATGTCTCTCCACATGTTTCGGCTGGTGTGTGAAAGTTGTTGAAAAAATCATGGCTGGATGATAAGAGACGTCTAGCAACTGAAGAAATTGAATCTGTAGAAGGCTTGTCCGGTGCTCCCTTCGTTTTCGCCTCAACTGCTTCTTTGTAGGAGGGTAATCGGCTGTTACGTCTTCCTGACGGTATCTCTTCGGGGAGTTGTTGGTCGTCTTTGTCTATGGAACAGGGTGAACTACTTCCAGTCAGATCAATGACAATGTCTTCGTTGTTCTTATATCCAATATCATCTTTCAACGAAGTTGTTGCTCTTGATTTCGCACGAGCAGGAGTATTACGCCTCGATACCTGCTGAGTACACTTGACCATTTTCGTAGGCCGGGGAGGGCAATTGACCTTTGTCATCTTTGATAGAGTTCGAAGCTCGTGAGACACATTACTCATCTTTCTGAGTGCGATCTTATACTTTGGGCCAAACACCTGCAGCTGTCTACGTCTGCGTTTCAGCAACTTATCATATTTCTCACGAAGAAATGCTGCCTTTTCGTTTCCGTCCAACGAATTGAAATGTTGTAAGTTTTTTCGTCTCGTGACTTCTTGTTTACTGCCATTGTAGCGTGAGCTATGTCTTCCACCTTCTTGCGGACTACTACCTATGTTGTAAGGTGCGTTTACATTTTGGTCTTTATGTTCATTGATTTGGTGGTGTGGAAAGTTAGGAAGATGCATGTTTCTGGGGGTTGGCCTGTCTGGTGGAGGCTGTTCATGAGGTTGCCTGGTAGCAAGGGTAAGCGGAACACCTGAATCACGTTGGCGTACCATATTCATAACAGGGTAAAAGGGATCGGGTAAAAAAGTCGGACGTTGGTGCATACCAGAAAATGTTTGTTCATTCGGGTTGATGTGCTGTCCATGACTATCATGAACTGTTCTTCCTGATATTTGGGCATTCGGGTTGGACCTGGCAAATGGGTTCATTGAATATTGCAATTCTTGTATGTCGATCTGCATCATAGCCTGTCTTTGTATCTCATTCGAAGGCATCATATTCCGTCCATTTGCATCACCCTTCTTTTCAGCCGGGTGGTGCCTTTGGTGAGTCAAGTACGCTTCATACCCTTGTACTTCATTAACTGAACTGTTATGATGCACCACACCTGTCACCTGCATTTGTTGATTGTAGGACAATGCCTTCACCGCATCTTCCACCGTAGCCATGTCTAGGTCCCCGAATCCACCCATTTGCTGATCAACCGACAATGGCAGTCTGCCGTGGTTGGAAAGCTCGTGTAATCTGTTGACATGCAGCTGGGGATTTGTTACTTGAATTTTCTTTGTGACAGTATGGTCGATCTGATCGCAGGACATGGAGTTGAAGCTGGTCTGGTCTAGATGTGAAATAGGTATAGCATGCCCATTTCCTGCGTGATCGACAACCTGGTCCGGAGCAACTACTGCTGCGGATACTAAGCAACCTAAAAGTTGCTTAACATTCTGAACGGTAATATTCTGAAGGGACGACTGTACCACGATGCCAGTATCTAAGTAATTACCCTCTTGACTGGTAGCTATTGGCAATGTCTGTTCTGTCATATTGTGAATTGCTTGACTATCTAAAGATTGGGCTCCCGGTAATGTATTTGCTCGCAGATGCGATGCAGTGGCATTCCCCCTGGGTATGGTTGATCTTAGAAAGGAGGGTTGCTTCCTAGCTCTTGGTTTGACAGTTTTAACTTCACCCTTCTGGTGACTATCACAGCCTTGGGTATTGATGTTCTGCCCCCTTTGGGGTTGTACATGGGCAACTCTCCTCCTATCAAGCCCAAGCGAAGATGACATATGCTTTGACGTCCCGTTCGTAGAATTTGTCAGCCGATTATCAGGAAAGGATGAATGATATAAAGGACCATGTCTCGCCTGTTCATTTCCAATGTGATGAATTCCAGCTTCTTGAGTCATCCATGAATTGAGTTGTGGGGTCAGATCAAGTGGTTCGGGCTGACCCATGGTCAACAATCTCTTGCGCGACCTGCTCTCTCCTTGTGTCCCATTTCCCATTGACCCGTCCATGTCCATGTAATCTTAGACAGTGCGCAGTCCATACAGGTTCGTCCAACACTCAGACGTCACGAAATTCTGCGAATACAAAGGGACGAGGATAAATTACGAAGGATAAACATGGCAGAAATGAATGCGGCTCAAAGTACACATTTTGCATTATTTTACGAATATTATGTTTACATTCCAGACTTGCGATTTCAACCCAGATATACACAAGATAACGGTACGTCCAGCCTTTTGTATTTATTAGTTTTGGTAATAGAGATACTATCAACTATAATATCAATGAGGTGGGTGGACCCCTCACCCCCCCCCCCCCCCCCCCCAACTCCGGAGTCGGAGGGACCGTATGCATGTTCCCCAAATCTCCGGTAAAGGGGTACTTCGCGCAACAAAGTCAGGCCCGTATTGACTTATACACACCGAACTTAGGGGGTGCTTTCGAAGGGAGCAACATGGATACGTGTACCCCTTAATAACAACGAGTGGGGCGAGGGTGGACTGCGTTATGCAAATCTGGACATGTTAAGCACGGCAGAGAATTTTTCGCATACAGAGCGATGTCCCTTATACAAAACCATTTTGATACGCATGAAAAATTCCCATTCTTCTGCACAATATGAAGCTCATAATATAATGGAGGAGATGGTGACGTGGCCAATGAAAAGAATGTGGGTTAAATACCTCCGACGGCACAATAAGAAAAAAAATTCAATGAGACGCATGAATATTGTTTACAGTTTTGACGAAAGGGGGGCCCCCTCGGTGCTACGGTAAACTCATTCACTGTCCAAGAGTGAAATAGTGTGGTAGCTTGTCCCGAAATTGTCACCTGATTTCACTGTTAAGATTTGACCCCAAAACTGTCTTTATAGATCAATAATATGAAACTCATTTCTTTTTAAATACTTTTTTTTATTTTTTATTTTTTTTTAATTTTTACTATTCAGTCTTTTTCTGAAAAAAGCATTGTTTTGTTCTAGTTTTGGGGTTGAAATAACTGTGTAGTGCGGTAATATCTTTCTATTATGTTATTGTGATATATTTTCGTCCTATACATTCTGAAATACTGAACAAGGACTTGTGTTGTATTTATTTTTGTTTATCAAATGGTTAAAAAAAGCTTTGTTACAATTATGTTGCAGTTTTGTATAAGCTATGTTATTTACGAAAAAGAATTGGGGTTTTGTGAGATAAAATCAATGAATACAACAACAAAAGTGCAGGTGTTTAATGGAATGTGTACATAATCCTGTATGTTATTGTTTGGCTACGTTTAAGAGAAAGAAGTACAATCGTTTTACAATTTAATAAAATACTAATGAAATTGTCACTTTACACCACATTCCTGACAAGCTTTTCAAACATCAACTAAAAAATGAACATCTCAAAATATTTTACCACGAATTTGTGGCACGGAATTCCAGTTTCATTAATCTTCTTATCAATAACAACTGCCACAGATCTATGACAAATCTGCTCACAGCCAATCAAATGCAAGAATGTCTCTAGCTTATAACAATACACCCTTTTATGGTTACAAGAGTGCGCACGAGCAGACAAGGGCGCCATTTTAAACTGCGAGTACAAGCTTCACCATAAAAAAAAGAGAGAACAATTAATGATGAGAGCCCGATGAGAGTAGTTAATGGTTATTTAAAGCAGAAGCGCATGTGTCACTATGACGTGAGCGCACAGTGCAGGCAGTGACGCAACAATACATGCATGGGTGTCGATCCGGGGGGGGGGTGGGGGATATATCCCCCCCCCCAATATTTCAGGTGGAGGGGATGGCCTGTACAATCATCCCCCCCCCCCCCAATAATTCACCATAAAAAAAAGAGAGAACAATTAATGATGAGAGCCCGATGAGAGTAGTTAATGGTTATTACTCGCAAGATGACCATCAATATACACATTTTGCTATCTCATTTTCATAATACATACATATATAAATAGAAAACGAAGTAAATGAGACGACCGTATATGAGACAAGTATAAATTTAATAGATTGAATAAAAAATAAAAAATTTATTCAGCATCATAGAAATGCAGTGCGCCAAATGCAAAGCCGCAGCGTTAAAAAGCAACGAGCTTAGTAAATGTTAAGCGCGAAGCGCAAAAGTGCAAAAAAGCAGAAGAGAGTGGGAGAGAGAGATAATGAGAGACAGAGAGGATACAGGCGCGTAGCCAGGGGGTGGTGGGGGCGGTCACCCCCCCCCCCCCCCAAAAAAAAAAGAGAGAGAAAGAGGATAGGAAGATGACGTAGGAAGAAAAAGGATTAAGAGTCGAGAATGGTACAACGAATCGTCTTCTTTCTCTAGTAATTTAATGAAACGCCAAAGCTTCCGCGCTTTGCGCGGGAAGGGGGGGGGGGGGAAACTGAATTCAGCAAGGATTAAGAGTCGAGAATGGTACAAGAATCGTCTTCTTTCTCTAATAATTTAATGAAACGTCGAAGCTTCCGCGCTTTGCGCGGGAAGGGGGGGGAACTGAATTCAGCAAGGATTAAGAGTCGAGGATGGTACAACGAATCGTCTTCTTTCTCTAATAATTTAATGAAACGCCAAAGCTTCCGCGCTTCGCGCGGGAAGTGGGAACTGAATTCAGCAAGGATTAAGAGTTGAGAATGGTACAAGAAGCATCTTCTTTCTCTAATAATTTAATGAAATGTCAAAGCTTCTGCGCTTCGCGCGGGAGAGGGGGGGGGAACTGAATTCAGACAAGGATGAAGAGTCGAGAATGGTACAACGAATCGTCTTCTTTCTTTAATAATTTAATGAAACGTCAGTGCTTCCGCGCTTTGCGCGGGAAGGGGAAAACTTTCCCTCCCCGAACCCACCCACCCCCTAGGAGGTGCTCACTACCGCCCCCCCCCTAAATTAAAATCCTGCCTATATGCTTGAGAGGATAATAACCCAGGTAGCAAGCCCATGTGGGACTCACATGGGTCCCATATTCTCTAAAATGTTATCTTTATTGAGGGTGATTTGGAAAAGTTAATAACTTGGAAGGAAGGGGGTGCAAACTGCCACACGCCTCTACCTCTTGGTTGCTTTGATCCATTGCCGAAAACATTGTGGCACCTATCATCCCCCCCAACCGAGGATAGAAATCTACACCCTTGAATACATGCGCGTCTGAAAACATTGATGACGCAATGTTAACTCGCAAATCAAAATGGCGGCTAAAGAAAAAAAAATGCCGTCTGGGCTCTGGCTTAATGGAGCGGAAATGATCTTTAAAGAAATCTTTTACAAAGAGTAACTTAGGCCACATTACTCCTGCTGTGTTCTTTGACGTGTAAATGAATGGCAACTGCACTCCTACACGAATTCACCTAGCCCTGTTTAAAGAGATTTATACATTTGAAGCGTAGTGCACTTTAAATAATCACACACACACAAGCCTAAAAAAAGTGGTTTACCGTGGGATATCTGAACAAGGCTTTAAGCGGGCCTGCACTACTTACTACTTGCGCCCTCTATATAGCAAACAATGCGTAAGCGGTACCCGTTGGTCCCCCATGCTCCCCTTCTTCTTATGTTAATTTAGAGCTGATTAGATGAGATAACGACCTGTCAGTGACCACGCAGGGAGGTCTAATCCCTCCTGGCCAAACTAGTACAGACAGGCTTTAAGTGATGAATGATTCAACCTTCAACGTGGGAGGCTGCAATCAATTCAGGTGATTGAGACAAAACCGCGCGACATCTGTAAAACATGAGTTGCTGGTAGACTGTGCTTATACAACGGGATTTCATGCCATCCTTTCAACCACCAACGATTACCAACTCTTGATTAAAGGGTTTTCCAATGATATACAGCTTCCACCAACTCAAACCACGTTTACATTTACTCTGACAATGCAGTGTCATGCATGCTACACAGTTACTTCGATAAATAGCTTTAATGACTGTTCAAATTCGTGAATGTTTCCCGGAATGTTTCTTTCCCAAACCCATGACCGAGAACTACATATTTGTAATAGACCTGTGTACTCGTTTTTTGTGTTTTTTTTGGAAAAAAAAAGCTTCTCTCGATGACTGGATGGAAAGCTTGTTGAAGGCTTGCCTGACTTAGCAACAACTGACGTAAGCAAAGTTAATTCCAGAAGTATGGATGCAATTTTGCATATCAGGTGAATCAAATCTCTGGTAACCATGGGGTTCGGGAGAAAAACATGCCTAAAATGAAATTAATAAACACGTTTATTCCCCTGCTAATTAAGCATCTCCGTAGAGGAAATGCTCTTTGCAGGCATTGTATACTGCTACGTCAGGCAAGCCTACTATGTATACGCTTGGGGTCGTTTCGTTTTAAAGTATACATAACAGCTCAAGAGTTTAGTAAAAAGATCTCTTCACATCACACAACCATTACATTACATTCCAATAAGCGTAACAATGTAAAATAAATCACCAATATCAATATTTACCGCTAAATGGTATCCAGACAGAGTAGCAAAATAAATGAAGAAGGGGAGTGTAGTTGGTTCACTTTGTTAGCTCTGTCTGCCTTCTCCAACAAACTGACGTAGACAGACCCCGTTTCGAAACTTTGGAAATTATCTGATTGATAAACGTCGGTAAACACCCAAACACACGCGCACCACACATTTACACACACACCACACGATCCAAGGCAGAAGGTACGAAATATCTCAGCGTTATGATCCAGATGCATTGAAGTGAACAACAATACAAGATACCAGCAATACCACTACTATGCACAGAATTCGTTTCACCTTGTCAATAAAAAGCCGTACGTCGAACAAAGGGTAAAAATATGGTAGCGGTGATGATTCAACTGGACTCCATATAAGGTAGAAACAAGTGGGCGTTTCAATAAAATAACTAGGGAGGTGCTCCCTCGTAAGTAAATACCAGGCAGGTTAGACAAGCCATACAGGTTCGCGTGAGTTGCCACGTGATTCATTGAAATACATCACTCGCAAAATATGCAGTAAATTAACCCGCGCCCATTACATTATTTACTTGATTTTATTTTATTTGATATGATAATGATTCGTTTTGATTTCATTTGATTTGATATTGTTCGATTTTTTTTATTCGATATTAATTCATTGGATGACATTCGATCCATTTGATCTGGTCTGATTGGATTAGATTGGATTGGATTGGATTGGATTTAATATTCGATTCCATATATAGTTATATCTTTACAATGTGTTTTAGACTGTTTAGACATGTGTAATGATATCAATAAAGATGTCTTCATATGTAAGACTGGGATGGAAATCATCATAATAAATACATATCATATGACAATTTATAAGTAATGACAAAACTACTTACTACTGCATGCTACGTATTAAATTTCACTTCAGCATTTTACTTTTGTAAGATACCATCAGAGTTATATTTCCATATAAAAAACCGTCAGGCGTGTATAAAGTAAAAGTAAAACGTTGGAAGCATTATTATTTCCATTACATTTTGTTTCCAAAAAAACTGAAACTGGTCAATAAATACGACCTATTTACTAAAACATTTCTCTCCTGAAGCCTTGCATTTCGATCCACCTGCAATAGATAATTGTATATATCTTTATAGGTGGAATGCCTTGTTAAACACGTGTTGCGTTATGTCATCAGGAGGCCTTTGTTCAAAAAAGCATAAAATTAGTAAACACATCTATATTACCACGATTCGATTAGAGTGGGGTCAGTGTGAAGTCGGCTGGCGGTGTGACTGAGGTATGAACAACTAAACTATATATTAAACATGATTGATGTTTAGTGATTAATCAATTTTTTATTTTTTTTTGGTTTAAAGTTTGAAATAAATCGGAGTAATGTTAAAAATCTTAATATCATACAAACTTTCCTGGAGCTCTGGTACTCCCCCAGGCAGACCGACGATATCGAGATGAGACCGACAATCGAATCTGTCTATTTTCTATGGCCAAGAATCGCTTGATTTGAAGGTTTGAGGTTGAGGTTTATCCGCGCTATTGAAGAATTATGGAACTGCATTCCAGAAATTCGACTAGATTGATTCTAAATTGGTTGTCACGCGCTTGATGGGTGATTTAAACCATTAAGGTTCGCAAAAACTGTCAATAAATCAACTTAAGGCTCGTTCAGATATAAATCGGTAAACTGCCGCAAAAAAGCCGTCGCGGTTTTGTTTGTTTGTTTCGTGTATATTAAGTTTTCGTTGACTCCATGAGAATCTTTCTGATGTTGATCTGGCATGCTTAACAAAAACAAAAGTACAAAACTTACCCCTTACGGATAATAAAAAGGTAAATTTCTCTTTTGGATAGGGCCATAAAACAGCACTTCACAGTACCAATGGAAGCTCCATCTGTTTGCGTCTCATGCAGCATATGCTTTGCAGGGCAAACCATATTGCCATATCTCCGCCAAAATGATAATAATAAACAAATATACCATGCATTAAGAGGCTCTAGTTGAAATAATGGATCGAGGTGACAGAAATAGCACTTTTTTCTAAGGGGCGTTGTCCGGAAGAATATAGTGCCATTTCTGTCGCTGATGAATCCATAATTTCACTAGTGGCTTGACCTTCAAAAACCAACCTTCCCCCTCAAAAAAATATAGTAATAATCTTGATCGATCGCATATCTATGACATCATCCATGGTATAGTCACTATGACATGACTGACAAAGAAAGCGGACAAAATATACAGTTCCTCTGGTAGACAAAGGAACATCCCTTCACTGCTTTTATGTAAAAATGTGTAGAACAGGTGTCACATGCACACTTAAAATAGTTGGGCCAAAAAATGCCCAACTTTTAACCAACACTGAGCAACATACGGTCCACACAACTATTGGTTAAAATCTGCCCAACTGATGTTGGGTAATCAGTTTGCTATGTGGTTGGGCAAATTGAATTGCCCATCAGTTGGTGACCCATCATATTTTACCCAACTCTACAATTGCCTAACAGTTGGTTATATTTTCAGTTGGGTAATTTCTTGCCCAACCAATTTTACCCAGTTAGATATTGCCCAACCTTCTATTTGCCCAACTTTTGAGTAAGTTTAATGTTGGTTAATTAAATGCCCAACCAGTTTTTACCCAACTCCCAGTCTGCCCAACTATCAAAACGCCCATCTATTGGGTAATAATTGCTCAACAATTTCTCTGCAACATCCATTTGCCCAACTCTCAAAACACCCATCTATTGAGTAATAATTGCTCAACAATTTCTCCACAATATCCATTTGCCCAACTATCAAAACACCCATCTATTGGGTAATAATTGCTCAACTATTTCTCCACAATATCCATTTGCCCAACTATCAAAACACCCATCTATTGGGTAATAATTGCTCAACTATTTCTCCACAATATCCATTTGCCCAACTCCCAAAACACCCATCTATTGGGTAATAATTGCTCAACAATTTCTTCGCAATATCCAGTTGCCCAACTCTCAAAACACCCATCTATTGGGTAATAATTGCTCAACAATTTCTCCGCAATATCCATTTGCCCAACTCTCAAAACACCCATCTATTGGGTAATAATTGCTCAACAATTTCTCCGCAATATCCATTTGCCCAACTCTCAAAACACCCATCTATTGGGTAATAATTGCTCAACTATTTCTCCACAATATCCATTTGCCCAACTCTCAAAACACCCATCTATTGGGTAATAATTGCTCAACTATTTCTCCACAATATCCATTTGCCCAACTATCAAAACACCCATCTATTGGGTAATAATTGCTCAACTATTTCTCCACAATATCCATTTGCCCAACTATCAAAACAACCATCTATTGGGTAATAATTGCTCAACTATTTCTCCACAATATCCATTTGCCCAACTCTTTAATTCGTCTGTTGGATAATCATTGCTCAACATTTTTTCCATAACATCTATTGGCTCAACTCTTTTTCTCATCTAAAGGGTAATAATTGCTTAACTGAAACACAAATAACATACACAGTAAACACATGTTGTTGTTTTCATCAGAAACGTAAAAACAAAACTTGTTAACATCAACTACAACATTACAATTTTTGGTGAAAAAAATACAACCTTTTAAAAAAAGTAAATGCAAATATAGCCCCTGTTTGGTGCAGCATGACAACTTTGATGTACACTGTATGTATTCCATGTACTCTGATTTCATACATGAATATGTGCATCATATATATTTTGTGGGTGTGGCATAGTGTTCATTTATCCTGACACACCAATACTCTGCCTTAGAGTGTTACACATGAACACATTTTTTTGAAGTAAAAAAAAAGAGGAAATAAATTCAAATCCCTCTAGATTATTTGACATGTGCAGAAGTACCACATGAAAGTTTGGCTATCTGTGATGGTGAACAGGTACTGATCAAATAACAAGGATACACACTGCCTACTATAACTTTTTGATTAGATTAAAGACAACAAAAATCAATTGACCCTACCTGCTATACTCAGTTTGATTGATTTTATTGATATTATCAATAATATCAATACAATTTTGCAAAATGTAGATAAAAATGTTGACTTCTCTACTTCTGCTTTGCGCGATGTAAATTAATGCATGCAGTCCATTCAGCAGAGAGTTCAGCGTAGGGTCAATGGACGATACACATTACATGAAAATTAATGGTATATGTAATTTACAATCATATACCCCACTTGCTTTTTTAAACGCAGAAAATATCATAGCTCATGTTTTATGAAGAAATATATCATTTTGATGTACGAGTTATGAAACAGTACTCTTGGGATTAAGACCAAACACGATAAGCATTTGTATACGCCAGTGCAAAAGATTTATAGCCAATAATATGTTTTGTATTTATACTTGGCATATATTCATTTGTTTTCTTAAACTTTCAAGGTGGGGATGTTAAGCAATGATTGGGATAAAACAATTAGGCCTTTATCATTTTTAAAATGTACACAAAGACTTCTGCTGTGTATAAATTCACTCTTTTTTTTAATATTATTCAGCGATCCTCACCCCACCCTCAAATCTTCAGTCTTACACAAACATGTCTAAATTATGTAAAATAATGTGCTGAATCCAACTCATAACAGTTTGTCTTTAAGGTTATTTTGTCCAAAATAATACTTTTTTCCAGTTTTTTTTCTCCCAAAATAAACTGGTTCAAGTAGCCAAAATGTGCTAAACGATGATGTGTCAGTTTCATCTGTAGGAAATATATCACCAGTAATCATCCTTGGCGTGAACACATCATGATGGCTTATGGCATGTTCATGAAGGCTCGGACCTCCCGCAGCTTTGGTGTAAGATGCTCCCCATCGGTAAACTGGAACACCACAATCTGGAGAAATTTCCAAACAGAACAGCTTTGCGGCTGATATTCGATATCCATCACATAAAGTGCCTTAAAGCACAAGTCGACTGCTTTAAGCAGTGTTGCGGCAGGAAGTATCCTCCTCTCTACTACGACGTACGCCTGTATTGGTGTGAGAATGTTCCCACGCACAACAACAAATGGCTGTGACCTGACTGCTTCATCAATGTTATCAACATAAGTCTGGATGTCGAGAACCTCCTGTAGTCCAAAGAGAAATCAAGAAGAAATCATTTGTAATTATATGGATTGATATATATATATTTGATGCTTGTCGAATGCTTCTGCTTATGAATCCACAATCACCTACAGGACACCCAAATTTGTTTATGCATGTTCATCCCTGTCCCATCAAAACATTACTGG